GAGGAGGAGGAGGAGGAGGAGGAGGAGGAGGAGGAGGAGGAGGAGGAGGAGGAGGAGGAGGAGGAGGGGGGGAGGAGGACGGAGGAGTGAAAAAGGGCTTGCGCACAGTGCAGATGAGGCCCTCTCGGAGCCGTCTTGATGCACTCTCGGGTCATTCTTCGGCTCTCTCAGGGCCCTCTTGGGGACCATCCTGGGCCCCCATGTGCTGTCTGGGGAGCCGGTTTGGATAGTCGGAAGTCCGTGTTGGGGTTGGGGGGGTAGGGGTCATCTTTGATCTTGGACAGGACTTGGGCCCAATAGGAGCCATGATGGAGGTGAGTTCGGGAGCTCCTGGAGCAATCTTCGGTGCCTCGTGGGCCACCCGTCGGTTGCCCGTCGAAGGAACAGCAGCAGTGTGCGTGTCAACAGCGCAGAACATCCCACAGGATGTCGATGATTTTCTGCCCCTCGGGGGCCCCTCGCGGAGCCACCCTGGAGCCGCCGTCACGCCTTTCTCCTTCCGGAGGGCCCGCTCGGCACCTCTGGCGTTCCTCTCAGTGACCGGCCGCTCTCGATGCTCCCTCCCCTTCGCACTCCCCCAAGGAACTCAAACATGCATTTACATATGAACTGTCGGAGGTCCGCGCAGATTTCTTCAATCGGCATCGGAGCCCCCCGGCGGCGCCTCCTGGCTCCAGCGCCGATCCAAGAAATCCGCGCAGGCCTTCGAAAGCTTCTGTGTATGCAACTGGTCATTCCTCGACTCTCTCTCTCCTTCCCTCTCTCTCTCTCTCTCTCTCTCTGCGCCTTCGCAGTTGGCTTTGGAGTTGGCTTTGGCATTGCCCTGCGCACTTCAGCTTTGGCCTCGGCTTCTCGGCTGCGGGTGCACAGCGAACCGCCGTCGGGCCAGCCCTCGCCCGAGTCGCCGAACTCCCTTCGCACGGGGTGCTTCCCTCCCTCTCCCTCCCTCCCCCTTCCTCCCTGCCTCTGTGGAAATCTACGTAAACACACACACACACAGGCTGCGGAAAAAAACACTGCGGACCGAAAAAACACTGTGGGAAAAAAACATTGATTGTGGAAAAACACACAGATCTCTAGGAATGTGGCAGGAAGGGTTCAGCAAGACTTGTTTTCACCGTTTGACGCTCGTGGCAGTTGCAGGCCACGAACTTGCTTTACGATCTACCTGGCTTTGTGCCACAAACGGCTGCGGGTCGCCGGTGCTGAACATTAGCAGCAACAGCAATCCTCCACTTACCCCAACCTCTACACCTTTGTATACAGGATGCTTTGCAGCCGTCTGAGAAGCGAAATGCCCGAGTTGCACCAACTTAGACATGGCTGAGGAGCGTCCCCCAGATCGCGAACGAAGAGCATTCTCAAGCCAGCGTCTAAGAGTGGGGCGCGAATAAAGGGATATCCTGCACCATCATAGGATGGTAGCCTACAACGAACCAGGACAAAAGTCTCGTTTTTGTCGTAACGGTGTCGGGCGGCCCCGGCCGTTGTCGTAGCGGCGCGCCGCCTGCTGAAGCATACTTGTTGTGTATTCGCTGACAAAGTTAGCGCAGAGCCGATGGACGACTCGTGATATAGAGAGCTGGAAACGGTCGCGTGTACTGCACAATTGTCTGATTCTGCAGGCATGGGCTTGTGACCACGAGCTGTGCACGTGGCGTGGATGCGCACTGGACAGGGGGAGGGGAGGAGAGAGGGAGGAAGGCTCGAGAAGATGAGGGACCGAAAAATGGCCACGCGATTTGGACATCCCAAGCTCAAGGACATGTATTCTCCACCACCCGACTTCTATCTCTGCCACCTCCCAGCTGTGAAGGAGGCCCACACCCGGACCCTCGGTGACTTCGTACATGATGTTAGCCGAAAGTTCCGACGGGTCGTCCACCAATTGGCTCTCCGGGACGAGCAGGAGAACCCTGCGGAGAGTCGTGCGCATCGGATCGTGGTGTGGCCACAGGCTCACCACCGCCTCGGTGATGGCCTCGGCGCTCCCATTGAGGGGTAGAAGTCCTGGACGTCGATGGTAGCCGTGTGCCAGCGTGCAGCGTCCTGCCTTGGAATGTTCCCGATCCTGGCCACCAGGTCTTTAGAATCTCGTAGCAGCCAGGGCGCGATCCTCTGAAGTCTTGCCCAGAGTATCTCCGCCGACCGGCAGGTGAGCCCGGCGAACATGTGGCAACAGGACGCATGTACGTGGCGAGGGACGACTTCTCCAGGAGGTTTCTAAGTTTTCACCAGAAGCTGCAGTCTGCTGGAAACCGTCGCCCGAGGGAAAAGTGCGCTCTTGAACAAGGTGGTGCCCAAGCTGTCGTCGTCCGTTCTTTGCCCAACCCATCGACAGATGTCCTTATAGGCCTTCACCAAAGCATGAGTAAGGCCGTGGCGGTTGACGATCGTGTAGCGCCTGGCGTTCAGCACGCTTTCCGACACGAGCGCGCGGTGGGCCTTCAAGATAGGCGAAAAGCTGTGGTCCCGGCCGTTCGGGACCGCCACGTATCCGCCATGTCTGTGAAAGCGAGAGAACGCGTTTCACGGGCGCTTGCCTTGGGAACATTCGGCGGCGCGTTTCGAACCGGGGGGTGGGCCCCCCCCCAGCACTCGGTGCCGCCGATCAAAACCAGGGGGATTCCCCTCCTCCCAAACCCCCCCCCCTCCTGAACCCCCCCCCCGCTCCTCCCATTGAGGAGGGGGGGGGTTTGAACCCCCCCTCCTTCGGCGCCGGCGCCGGCGGCCGCCAGCAGCGCCGACGGCGGGGACGCAGCGACGATGACCAGAGGAAGCCCAGGGGATGGGGTTGAAACCCCCCCCCCTGGCGCCGGCGCCTGCGCTGGCGGCGGTCAGCAGCGCCGGCGCTGGCGCCGGCGACGGCGGGGGCGCAGCGACGATAACCACCACTACCACCACCACCACTACCACCACCACCACCGCTTCAACCCACCACCACCACCACCAACCCACCACACAACCGCCACCACCACCACAACCACCGCCACCACAACCACCACCAGCACAAGTCACCATCACCACCACCACCACAAAAACCCACCACCACTACCGCCACCACCACCACCACAATCTACCACGCCACCACCACAGCCGCCACAACCACTATTACCAGCAGCACAACCCACCACCACCACCACCACAAACCACCACCACCACTACCGCCACCGCCACCACCACCAGCACCACTTCCACAAACCACCGCCACCACCACTATCCACCACCACCACCACCACAAACCACCACCACACCACCACCAGAGCACCACCACCACCATCACAACCCACCACCACCACCACCACAAACCACCACCACACCACCATCACAACCACCACCACCACCACAACAAACCACCACAACACCACAACCACCACCACCGCCACCACCACCACCGCCACCACCACCACCACAACCCGCCACCACCACCACCACCGTCGTCCTCGTCGACGCTCCCTGCCGCCGCCGCCGCCCGCCGCCGCAGGCGCCGGAGCCAGCCCAGAAAAGGAAATCGTCGTCCCCGCCGCCGCCGCCGCCAGCCGAGGAGAGGGAGAGAGGAGAAGTAGGGGAGGGGATGGGGGGGGGCTCGAACCACCCCCCCTCCGTCACGGGACGGGACGGGGGAAGGGGTCCGGTTCCACCCCCCACCCCCCCTCCAAGCGACCACTGAACGCAGCCTTTCGTAAAAGCGGATCGCCATCTGTTCCAAAAGGTCCCATGTTCGCACGCAGTTTTGAAGAGTATTTGGCTCCTTGTCTCGCCCGTGCAGCCGTAGCAAGTGGACGTTGGGTGACTGCTCTGACCCGCCAGTCCATCGTGATCCACTCAGGCCCGGCGTGCGCCTCACGCTCTTTGGACAGAACGCTGGTGTCGTAAAGTTGCGTGGGGGCCTCGGAGCATCGATGCTGGCTGCGGACAAAAATTTGAAGTACCATCTCCTTCTCAGCACGCTGCCGAAATCTAGGACCTGCTGCCGGAAAGTATGCATTGAGGGGAGTGCCCTGGAGAGCGAAATATGCTTGCGGCGCCGTCGAAGGACTGGCCACTTCATCGGCCAAGGTACGCATATTGCGCACATAACTTAAGAACGGGATTCGCAGCATTGCACGGTATGCTCATACGTTGACCAATCCAAGATTGCACGCCAATCTCAAGCTGCCAATCCAGTTGTCAACTTCAGCATCCATTGAACATCACTGCGTTCGTTATTTGCCACTTTGATCCGTTGCCTCCATGCTTTTCGCCGTCATAGTTTCAGTAGCTTCCGTGCTGGTCCTTTGGCTTCCGCGGCGCGTGTTCCGTGGTCGTTTTCACCTTGCATTTCTTGTTTTCGCTGCTTTTGCCGCTGTCTTTGCCCTTGCGTTTTTGGTTTGGCTTCCATCTCCACCATGTGCCTGTTACCGTGCTCGGTGTTGTTCTTGGTTTTGTCCTTGTCCTTGCCTTTGCCTTCGGCGCCTTTGACATTCTTCTCCACGCCCTTGCTGTCCTGGCTTTTGTCGCCATTGCCTTTGGCGCCCTTGCCTTTGGCGCCCGTCTTCCCTGCCCCTGGCCTCGCGGCCGGGGCAAAGCCGCTGTTTGGAGCAACCATGTCTCGTATGCGTGCCGCGGTAGCGTTCTGGTCCGCCTGCTGCGCCGCGTCGTCCATGAAATCGTCGAACGCCTCGTCTAACCCAGCGTCCTTCTCCGAGCGTCGATCGTGGAATCGATTACCTTCTCTAGTAGGTTAGCGGGTTTTCTGTTCGAGTCGACTTCGTTCGGTGGCCTCCTTTTTTTCTGTTTTGTATGATGTTCGTTATCCTCGGCCTGGATCTCCTTTGCTATCATTTCGACGGTTTGTTTGTATAAGGCTTCAGCCTTGTCCTGGGCATCTTTCTCTGGCACGTGGTCGTACAACGGCTCCTCCAAGCCCAACGCCTCAGCCTTGTTTTTCTCGGCGGCGTCTTTGATCATACCCTTGATCGTCGTAGCGAAGGTTTCTTTCAGCGCCGTCCTCTTCGCAGCTTCCACCTCCCTTCTGTTCGCCATCAGCTCCGTGCGTTTGATATTGCGAAGACCACACACACTGTGGAAAACACACACACACACACGGTAGAAAAACAACACCGTGGAACAAAAACACATCTTGTGGAGAAAAAAGCACAACACACACACACACACACACACACACACACACACACGCGCACACACACACACACACACACACACACACACACACACACACACACGCACACACACACCCACACACACTCACGCAGACCGTGTGCTCTTCTCCCTCTCCCTCTCCCGCCCTCCCTGCTCCAGGCCCGCCGGCGCGCGCCTCCGCAGGCAGGGCGGGTGCCCGGCCGGCAGGTGCGCCTCCCGACCTCGAGAGCCCAGCGCTCGGGGGCGGCTCCGTGGGGGGGGGGAGGACTGGGGGGGCGTGGATATCACGGCGGGGGGCATGAGATCTCTCCAGGTGGCACGGCACCTCGTTCTATTCCATTCCAATAACGCCCCTGGCCCCCCGCCCCCCCTTGTGCCGCGCACGTGCCGCCGGCCGCGGTGTGCGCCCCCCCCCTCTTGGACGCCCCCTTCTTGGCCGCCCCCGGATCGTGCCCGACGCTGCACCCCGCAGCCACCTCGAAGTGCGAGGCCGCCCAGGCCCAGGCCCCGCGCGCCGTGGCGGAGCCGTCGGGGGGGTCAATTCGCAATGTTTTGGGCCTCGGGGGGCCCTCGCCTGGCCGCGGGGCCGTCAAGGCAACGTCAGCGGCACCGCAACGGCTATTCACCAACGGGTACGTTGGAGAGTTGCCGAGGGTTGCCACTTCAGGGCCCCTTGCTGGCACTGCAGCGTTGCCCACAGCGGGGGGGGCTGGGTTCGCCGGGTCACTGGCCAAAGCACCCGTCAGTGGAGTCCCCGTTAGAAGGGCGCTGACAACGACTCGGGACGAGAAGCCTGTCCCTGGGAATGGGTCGAGACCTCTGTGGGCTCTGGTCTGGAGGTCCACGTTATGAAGACATCCTGATGTCGGGGGTCTGGGGGCCCTGCACCCGGAGCTACCTCAGAATTCCAGGTCGCCCACATGGGTCGGGCCGGACGAAAGGGGGGGATTGGGAAAGGAGGGGTTACGAAATCTGCTGCATGCAGCTGGTTTCGGCCCCACCGAGGGGCCCATTCCTCGATACATAGCCGTCTCCGGCGCCGGGAGGCGCCGGGGAAATCAGCTACGTGAGCTGATTCTCAAACCCCCCCGTTGCTATCCCCCCCTTTCGCCCAGCCCGAATGGGGCGTGCCAGACAGGGTCTCGCCCTCGAGGGCCCAAGGCGTTGGGCATGTCTTCCTCGGCGGAAGAGGTGGCGGCAGCCAGCAGTGCTCGAAGTGGGCCGGCTCCGCCAGCGGAAGCTGGCGGAGGTACAAGATGCACCCTCCAAGAGGTGGCAACATTTTTGGGTTCAGGGCCTCCGAACCCGCCAAGTGTGACGAACCAACAACACACACCCATACCCATAGGGGGATCGGAGAGGGCTATGGGTGCGTGTTGTCGGATGGGGGTCCCCGCTCGAACGGTAGCGTTCCCCAGGGTCCGACAACCCGCACCCATAGCCATAGCCAGTCCTCCTCCCAACGACCTCCCTATGGGTATGGGTGTGTGTTGTTCGTTCGTCAAAGTGGGGCCATCACCGATGCATCGGTGCAGCGCGATCTCGAGCGTGATCTTCTCCCATTCGACGTCGCCGGTGCGTCGGCAATGCGACGCTGTCTTCCGACCCCATCTGCTCTGGCCCGCTTTGGGCCGCCTCCAGTCTTCCTACATCCTCCTTCCTGCCGTCCCTGTCGTCTCTTCACGGTCGCATAGATGCCACCGCAGTTTTCTCCAGGCTCGTTGTAGGTATTTTTCATTTGCGCCTCTGGCGGTCTTACTGCCACCGGCAATCCCCTTGTGGTCGAACGCCGTGCCCTTCGCGGGAGAGCGCATGGATGGGCTGGCGCCGGTGCGAGCGGTACTCTAGACCCATTCGCTGATCGCGCTGATTGCCCTCCCCCCAAAAATAAAGCATCCGATGCGGGCATCCCCATGGTTGCAATGTTTATATCGTGGCTTCTTCAGTGAGAGTCTAAGGGTGAATAAGTTTGGGAACAATCGGCTGAGAATAAATGAGTCTGGGTATGAGCGAGTCTGACTATGAGTAAATCTGACTGTCACTCAGTCTGGACCTTAGTGAGTATGAGCATGAGTGGGCTGAGGTATGAGTGAGTGTGGATGTGAGCACGTCTGAGTATGAGCCGCTCGGTGTGTGTCAGTCTGAGTACGGCTGGGTATGATATGGGGTGGATTCAGTGGTACCCAGGTGAGTAGCCATAAGTATGAGTTGGCCTGTCAGTGTATGAGTGGCAAAGTGTGGATGGTTCAGTATGAGAGCGTCTGAATACAGGTCCGTCTCAGAATGAATTCGTCTGCATGTAAGCGGTTTTAAAAAGAGCGATTGAGTGAGCCGAGGGAATATGATCGTGAATGGTTCCCAGCATGAGCGTTTCTGAGTTTGGACGGTTAGATATAGTTGGTTCTGTGTCAGAATGGGCTTGAGCATGCGTGAGCCTGAGAGTCATGATTATGAATTGGTGTGTGTATGAGCTGGTGAGTATGAGTGGGTTTGGATAGGGTTGCTTATAAATAACTGTGACTGGTGTGGGTAGGAGTGGCCAACTATGGGTGAACATGTGCATGAGTGAGTCTGGAGCAATTGGGTATGAGTGAGCTTGAATGTGATCATGTATGTGTATGCGAGAGTTGGTGTATGCTTGGTTCCGTGTGGGTGGCTATGGGTTTGAGTGGTTCTCTGTATGAGTGGGTATGAGTGTGAGTGCGCCTGAGTAAGATTACTTTAGTATGAGTGGGCTTTGTTGTGAGCGAATGTCGGCAGAATAGGCTGAACATGGGCGGATGAGTACGAGCGAGTTTTGGTACGAATCGGTATATGAGTAAGTCTGCGTGTGGGTGAGTCTGACGTTGAACGACTGGGTACGATTGAGGCTTGGTACGAGTACGGGTATGAGTGGCTGAGCATGAGCGGGTGTGGGTGCGAATGCGCCTGGGTATAACCGACTTTGCGGCTGCGCATGGGTGAAATTGACAACGATTGAGTGCCCGAGTCTGAGTAAGTTCTCGTTGTTCCAGCAAGCTGGCGTTCTAACTGGGAGGTCTCACCTATTCGGACGCGTCCAAGCAATACCCCATGGTTCTCCCCCATTGGGAGGCCGAGGTGCGGTGTTTGCTGGCCCACCCATGAGGCTGTGGAATAGAGTCGCTTCTTCGTTCCAAAACAGGCGTTCTGCCTTCCTGGATTCCAGTGATTTCGTCCCGAACGGGCCCGTCGAAGATCCTTATTCGACAGGCCCCCCCCCTTCGAGTTGAGAGACCCGCGTGCGATGCCTGCTACTTCGCGGTCGTCATGAGGCTGTGGAAAGACAGACACGTCGACGTCCCAGAACCGGAGTTGTGCGTGAGGGGTCCACTCAGTCTGGGCGCGAACGGGCCCGTGACCTTTTGGTGGCTCCCCGTTGGGAGGGAGGCCCGAGTGGGGTGCCCGCTGCCTCGCCAGGATGATGCGGCTGCGCAAGAAAGACAGCCCCATAACGAGCGTCCTACCTGAGGGGTCTTGCCAATCTGGGCGCGAACGGACCCGTGAGATACCCCCTGGCGGTTCCTCCTTGAGGGGACAGAGACCCCACCGATCCTGGTGCGAGCGGGCCTTTCACATACCCCCCGGTGGCTCCTCCTTGAGGTGGCCCCAGTGCGATGCTTGCTACCTCGTGGCGGCCATGCGGCCCTGAAGCCCGACACGTCCACCGCGCCTAACGAGCGTTCTAGCCGAGAAATCCCGCCAAGCTGCGCGCGAGCGGGCCCGTGATAGACACCCAGTGGTGGCTCTCCTCTGCGAGGCCGGGGTGCGCTACTCCCTACCTTTCTGTCGGGCGTGTCCCCCTACAGGGGGATTTTCGACGAAAAATTAAAAATACCCCCAAAATACCCCCAAAAAGGTGAAAACGTATGCAAAAGATAGTCCCCAGACTATTGTGTTGGATTATGTTTGTACTATGTTGGGGGGTATGTTTTGTTTGTCGTCGAAAATCCCCCTGTAGGGGGACAGGCCCGACTTGACCCTGCCTCGAGGTGGTCTCGGGCGGGTGGCAATGGGGGGTGACCCGAATGGGGGGGTGACAGAGCCCGTTTGGGGGCACCTGCTGGCTCCAAAAGGGGGCCTCAAGGGGCCCTTTTTGGGGCCCTCGTATTCACTTGGCATCGCTCGGACGTGTGCGTTTTTTCCTCGGCGAGGACCATCGAGGAGCATCCTTGATCATTCGGGAAAAAACCACGCACGAAACCGAAAAAAGCACACGGAATGGACGTCCGAGCGATGGCCAGTTTGGGGCCCTTTTATTCACCCCCCAGTACCATCGGAGGTGGATTGACCTCCTGCCCTGACTCTGTCTGATCCGCGGGTCGAGAGCGCGCCTCTTCCGCCTCCTACCCTGACACTTCGATTCGTGGATTGGCCGTTTTCGGTTCGCGAGAGGGCGTCGCGGCCATCTTTTTTGCGGGTCCAGGGCCGTCGGTTTCGGCTCCAGGCCTTTTTCACGAAGGGGAGGTTTACTGAAGGGAGGTTTCTCCACCGCCGATACCACCTGCCTGATGGTCCTTGTGCTCTGAAAGAGACGCCCACGTTCCAAAAGAGACGCGCTTTCTGAGAGGCCCCATCCACGTGTGCGCGAACGGGCCCGTCGTGTGTTTCCTGGCGGCTCCCCCTTCGGGGGCCCGAGTGCGATGCCTGCGGCATCACGGCGGCCAGAAGTCTGCGAGGGCCCGAGGCGTTCCCGTGGGCCGACACGGCAGATCTGCCCTGGGAGGTCCCAGCAATATAGGGGGCGAGCGGGCTCGTGGTGTACCCTCTGGCGGGGTTCCCCTTCGGAAGGCTCGGGCGCAATGCTTGCTACCTCTGGCCGTTGTGGTCATGAGGCTGTAGAGAGAGAGAGAGAGGGAGAGAGAAAGAGAGAGAGAGAGAGAGGCACGTCCACCGCCCCACATCGGGCGTTCTATGCGAGGGGCCCCACAGATTTGAACGCGAAGGGGCCCGTGATATACACCATGGTGGCTCGCCCGTGGGAGGCCAGAGGTCCCGCCAATCCGGGCGCGAAGGGGCCCGTGAGTTTGTCCTCTGCAGTTCTTCCTCGATGGAAGACAGTGCAGTGCCTGCTACCCCGCTGCGACCATGACGCTCTGAAAAGATATGCTCACGTCCCAAAGCGAGAGTTCTGCCTGAGAGGTCCCACCAAGTTGGGTACCAGCGGGCCCGTGATCTACCTGCGGGTGCTTCCTCTTTGAAACGCCCAGGATAATAGGATAAGCAAGTGCGATTCAGTATGAGTATGAGGGGGTCTGAGTGCGAGCGATTGAGTCAGAGAGAGTATAAGGATCAGCGACGGTGATGAAAATGTGGGACGAAGCTATAAACAGTAACCCAACAGTGAGGTCACTGGGACTGGACTGCCCGAGGATCTGGATATATTCTGGCGGCGCGCAGACGGGGGCGAGGGGGGGGACTTCTAAGAAGTCCAGTGGCCTTTTACAGCAGTCGGGACTAGAGGCTTTGGGTAATGCTTTTTGGAAGGCAGGAGGGGTTCTAAAATGCCCCCTGTCTTTTTCGAAGGCCGCGCCCCACCCCCCACGAACCGCCCCCCTTCTGCGGGCCGTCAACGGTTCCAGGGCCATGAAGGCCCCCCAACAAGTGAGGGAGATGCGTTCCTGGCGGGACTTTAGATTGCTAGCACCATAATCCAGCTCAACCATACTTCGACTCAGAAATGTGTTCACCCACCGTGCGTGCGATTGCGAACGCTCTGCGGCCGAAACACCATGTTTTGCAAGGTGTACCGTAGCGTCCATCACTTGTGTTATGATTGTCTGTTGCTTCAAGAAGTGTCAAGAAAGTTGCAGTCCAGCACAGGTTTCCCCCCTTTACGCCTCCTTCAAGCAGGTGCATCGAGGCGCGCGAGGGCATCCAGGTGATTCACACGTACCTGCGGACGCAGCTGCCATTCGCCTACGTTCACCTCGTGGCTTGGCTGGTGGCCTCGTGTTATGTGTCTGCCTTTCCTCCTCATCCTCCTCTCCACCTTTCCCATCCTCTTCTGCAGCATTTTCAGTTCAAAGGATTTTTGCTGTTGGCAAAAAGCGAGCACACTTGATCCACAACAGGAGCCTGATTTTCTGCACCGGATTTCAGCTACCTCTTCGCTCCTGTTCTGTCACGCATGGTCTGGCAGTGCTTCCTGCTGTGACGTGTCATAGCCAGTGCATGTCTGACCCGGGTGGTCCGCATCTTTAAACTACTGGCCTTGAATATTGTGGGAACCTTGGACCTTGTTCGCAGTATGCACATCTTGTATGACATAGCACCCCTGGCCTGATGAACAAAGACACTGGTTCGAGGCCCACTGGGCATGGCCGAGCGCAACCGCTCTGGACTGGTCATCGCCAGGGGCAAACAGGTGCCTGAACGCGATTTCCTTCAATCACCTGCACCTGCGATGTGCAAAGCTGCTTACTGGACCCTGAACGCGATTGCCTTCGATCACCTGCACCTGCGACGTGCAAATCTGCTTACTGGGCGCCTGAACGTGGTTTTCTTCAATCACTTGCACGTGCGATTGCAGAGCTGCTCACTGGAGATCTACGGCCGAGGCGCTGACATAAGGCCCGCCTGAGGCTCATTCATAAGATCTGGTGTTCGGGCTGTTCATTAGGAGGAGGAGGAGGAGGAGGAGGAGGAGGAGGAGGAGGAGGAGGAGAAGGAGGAGGAGGAGGAGGAGTTATGGTCCACCGAGGGACTCTGGTGCTCGGGCCGCTCCTTAGATTCAGGGCGCGGAGCCCGTTCTCTCGCAGCAGAGGCTCGCCGTGTCCAGAAGAGGAGCCCCCTTCCGTTCCGTACCCTCGGCGCTCCTCTTGGGAAAGCACCACAACTGCACCGCTTCCGGCCTTACGAGTCTTCTAGAGAGTGCGGCCAGGCCCGACGGGCTGGCATACAGTTGGGGCGCTGAAGAAGGAGCCCTTTGCGTGTTTTTTGATTGTTTTGCAGTTTTCCTCAGGGTTTTCCGGAGGTTTTCCATTGGACATCGAAGCTTAACTTATGGGAGAAAGGGGCCCCGTTTTTTGTTTAGGGTTCCTTGGGTCAGCGCCCCGACTGTACAGCACCCAGCTCCGTGCGGAGGGGGCGCTCCGGCGGTCGCAAACTTTTTGGGCCTGCGAGCATGGCAGCACGGCGGGCTACCCGACACCCCTTGCGGGTTTGCGCTGCGCGGGCGCTCCTTCCGCGCCGAGAGGCGACGGCACGCGGGGGACGCAGCATTCGCACGCGATGCACCAAGGTGACGGCCCCAAACACTCATGAGCGGCGTCTCCAGACTGCGCGCGGCGGTTGGCAACAAGCCGTGGAGCTGGATCGCGACGGACGTGATCAACGCCGTCCAGCACGGACTCACCAGGGGGGGGAGCCCGGCCTGGCCGATTCGGAGGGGGGCGGGGAGGTAGGGCAAAAGTGCCCGCGGAGGACGCCCCCTGGCCAGCAAGATCCTCCCACGCGCGCAGAGATTGTCTCAGGTGGCCCTCAGACGGCCGTAGGTGGCCTCAAGATGGCCCAAGGTGACTCCGAGCCGGCCCTAAAAAATGGATTCAGGAGCCGAGGGAACGCGAAAAAAAATTAACCTGACGACGGAACTAACCATTTGCAGCTGCGAAAACCGCATTGTGGGTACCGGCTTCGGTGGAGCTCCCTATGGTACCACGAAACGTGCGAGGGGTGTGCCGAAATGGGTAGCAGTCCCCGCATGCGGCCTGTGCCGCTGGGGCCTTCGGTGGAGCTCCCTGTGGGGCCACGAAACGTGTGAGGGGTGTGCCGACATGGGGGTGGAACCGCATGCGAACGCAGCCACTGGGGCCTTCGGTGGAGCTCCCTTTGAGGCCACGAAACGTGCGAGGGGTGTGCCGAAATGGGGGTGGAACCGCATGCGGGCGCTGCCGCTGGGGCCTTCGGTGGAGCTCCCTGTGGGGTCACGAAACGTGTGAGGGGTGTGCCAAAATGGGGGGGTGGAACCGCATGCGGGCGCTGCCGCTGGGGCCTTCGGTGGAGCTCACTATGATGCCACGAAACGTGTAAGGGGTGTGCCGAAATGGGGGTGGAACCGCATGCGGGCGCTGCCGCTGGGGCCTTCGGTGGAGCTCACCATGGTGCCACGAAACGTGCGAGGGGTGTGCCGACATGGGGGTGGAACCACATGCGGGCGCTGCCGCTGGGGCCTTCGGTGGAGCTCCCTATGGGGCCACGAAAAGTCTGAGGGGTGTGCCGACATGGGGTTGGAACCGCATGCGGGCGCTGCCGCTGGGGCCTTCGGTGGAGCTCCCTATGGGGCCACGAAACGTGTAAGGGGTGTGCCGAAATGGGGGTGGAACCGCATGCGGGCGCTGCCGCTGGGCCCTTCGGTGGAGCTCCCTATGGTGCCACGAAACGTGTGAGGGGTGTGCCGAAATGGGGGTGGAACCCGCATGCTGGCGCTGCCGCTGGGGCCTTCGGTGGAGCTCACCATGGTGCCACGAAACGTGCGAGGGGTGTGCCGACATGGGGGTGGAACCACATGCGGGCGCTGCCGCTGGGGCCTTCGGTGGAGCTCCCTATGGGGCCACGAAAAGTGTGAGGGGTGTGCCGAAATTGGTGTCGATGATGGTGACGATAACGGCGATGATGTTGGCGACGATGGTGATGATGACGATGATGCCGATGATGAAGACGACGGTGATGATGACGACGATGATGATGGCGATGATAATGATACTGACGAAAACGATGACGATGATGACGATGATGATGGTGATGATGATGATGATGATGATGATGATGATGATGATGATGATGGTGATGGTGGTGGTGGTGATAATGATGATGATGAGAGGAGGAGGGAGGGGGCAGCGGGAGGAGTGAACGCGGGCGCTGTCTCTTCAAAACGAGGACCCAACACCACAGGATGGTTGGGACAAATTGTTGAAGGCGCGTGTCATCCGGAATCGGCACGCTACGTCGCCAAGTGAGGCGGCATTGGCTTCAGGTCGGGCATGACCCCCTACAGGCGGATTGCGGGCGAAAAATGATGTTTTAAAACATACCCCAAAGATTGAAAAAGGTAATCAAAAATGCTAGCAAAACCGTCCCCAGACAATTTTGTTGACGATTGTTGAAAATTCCCCTGTAGAGGGACACGCCCGACTGAACGCTGGCTTCAGGTTTCGGAGGCTGCCTGTTCCCCTGTCCGATCGGACCCCGCGCCCCCGAGCCAGAGCCACGGGTCTCGGGAGCCTTGAGGCGGGGGTCAATGCAAATGGGGGTCAGCCAGTGCGCCAGATCTTGCAGGATCCTGCAGAGCCAGGCTCCCATTGACCCGGGCTTGAGTGCAGGATCCTGCAGGATCTTGCAGGATCCTTCGCATTGACCCGGAGGATCTTGCAGGATTCTGCAAGGCCTGGCTGACCCGGGTCTGGATTGACCTGGGTCAGAAGATCCCCGAGCCAGGTCCGTAGTCCATGCTCGGTGGCGCCCGAAGGATTAGATTGGGCCTGTCCCTCTACAGGAGGAATATGCAACAAATAATCAAAAAATAGTCTTGGGACGATGTTTATACTATTGTGGACTATTTGGGAGCATTTTTGAGTATTGATGATGTTTCGTCAAAAATCCGCCTGTAGGAGGGAGGACACGCCCGACCTAACCGAAGGAGGGCCCGAGAGGCCATCAGGGCCCGCACCTGCAGTGGGGGCCCATGCCAAGAAGCGCCCTGCTCGCCTCCCGAGTGCCGCGGGCTTCTTGGGGGTCCCGATGGCTCTGCCGCGGGGGGCGTGCGCGCGACGCTGCCGCGCCAGAACTCCGTGGACGTCCCGGGGTCTCAGGCGTGGGCTTGATGTGGAAGGTCTCCTGGGGCCGGGGCCCCCGCTGTACCCGACAGCGTGCGGCGCCTCGGCGCGCAGGCGGCGGGGCCCGGACCCCCGGCGACCCCGCGGCAGACCTCCGACGGCGAGGGCCTGCCCCCTCGCCTCCCACGACGCCGCCGCGGCCCTCTCTCTCTCTGCTCCCTCCGTGGCCCTCGATCCTCCGCGGGGGATCGAGGCTCGGCCCTCGGTCCTCGACGGGAGGACCGAGGCCTCCGCGGCCCTGCATCCTCGACGGAGGGTCGGCGGCGAGGCCCGAGGCCTCCCGGGGGACGGGAGGCCTTGACCTCGGCAGGGCTGCGGAGCCCCCCCCGCTGCACCCGCCGACCCAGTTCCCTGTCTCCCCCGCCTGCCCCCCTCCCGCCCGCCCCCTCCTCCCTCCCCCCTCCCTCCCCCCTCCCTATCCCTCTCCTCCCCTCATCCCTCCCCTCCTCGCCCTCCCCCTCCTCCCTCCCTCCCTCCCTCTCCCACCCCGCCTCTGCCCCCCTCCCGCCCGACCCCCTCCTCCATCCCTTCCCTCCCCCCGCCCTCCCTCCTCCGCCCTCCCCTCCTCGCCCTCATCCTCCGTGCTCCCTCCCGCCGCTCTCTCGGGTGCGCCCTCATTTTCCTGCTGGCCGCCTCTCTTGGTCGGTTGCGGATCGCTTGCTGTGCTCGCTCATGGCCCCGCTCTTGCTTGCTTAGCATTGTGCTCCACGATGCCGGTGCGCGACTTGATGTTTAGCACGCTCATCTCGCCTTAGAGCCTGAAGCGATGCGGCCCTGAGCGCATTCTCGCACTTCACCAGATGCACCGGCAAGGGCTGCCTCCAGGAGAGAGCCCAATATCCGTGCCGTGTTCATCGGACAGCTCGGCGCGTGAAGGGGCTGCGCCGTCCTCCTCGCTCCCTCCCTCCCGCCTTGGCTGGAGGCCCCCGGGGGCCGCCAGGAGGCCCATGGCCAGGCCACTCCGGAGGGAGCGGGGAGGCACCTGGGCCTCCTGGAGGCCCAGGGCCGCCAGGGGGTCCCCGGAAGCCCAGTGGTCTCCAGAGACCCGCGGATGCCGCCTTCCCCCACGGTTTGGGGCTCACTTGCTTGTTTGTTTTTTTGTTTCTCTTTTTTCTTTTTTTTGTTTCTCTTTTTTTTTTGATCTTAGCATCCGCTCCTACGCCCCCTATCCTCTTAGCCTCCTCCCCTCCTCCTCCCCTCATCCCTCCTCCCCCTCCCTCCTAACCTCCTCTCCTCCTCTCCCCTCTCCTACTCCTCCCCTCCTCCTCCACTTCCTCCTGCCTCCTCACTCCCTCTCGCCACCCTCCCCTCTCTTCACTTCCCGTCACACCTCTTCCTTCTCCATTATCCTCCTCCTCCTCCGCTCCTCCTACCCTCCTCCTCCTCCCTTCGTCCTCCTCCCCTGTGTCTCCTCCTCCTCCTCCTCCTCCTCCTCCCTCCCCTCCTCCCTCCTCCTCCTCCTCCTCCTCCCCCTCCTCCCTCCTCCTACTCCTCCTCCTCCTTCCTCCTCCTCCTCCTCCTTCCTTCCTCCTCACTCCTCCTCATCCTCCTCCTCCTTCCTCCTCCTCCTCCTCCTCCCTCATCCTCCCCTCCTCCTCCTACTCCTCCTCCTCCTCCTCCTCCTCCGCCTCCTCCTCTACTCTCCTACCCTCTCCTCCTCCTCCTCCTCCTCCTCCTCCTCCTCCTCCTCTCTCCTCTTCCTCCCCCTCCTCCTCCTCCTCCTTCCTCCTCCCTCCTCCTCCTCCTCCCCTCCTCCTCCTCCTCCTCCTCCTCCTCCTCCTCCTCCTCCTCCTCCTCCTCCTCCTCCTCCTCCTCCTCCTCCAGTGGTGACCACGCACTACCACTTTACCGCCAGAGCCACCACTGGAGGAGGAGTCGATTCCGCACGCTCGACTCCTCCTCCAGTGGTGGCTCTGGCGGTAAAGTGGTAGTGCGTGGTGGCTCTGGCGCAGATGGGCCGGCGGTGAGGGGCACAGTCGTTCCTTAAGTGCGCGCAGCGGTACGCGGCAGTTGCGGGAGGACGCGAACTGTTGCATGTGAGAGAGATACACATCTGCATCCACGCGCAACCCTTGCACCAAGCGCGCAGAATATGGCATCCAAGCGCCAACTACTGCTATTACTATTGCACCTCTCCCCGTGGACCCATCTGCGCCAGACGCGCTACTCCGGCGTAAACATCTGCGCGCACGTCTTCGTTGCGTCCTTCTTGGTTGTTTGCTGCATGGTGTGGGCCCCATCCTCCCTGTCACGCGACCCCTGTTGTGAGAGCAGTCTGCGTCAGATGATCGCAAGCGTGCTACCAACAGGTGCACCTGCAGAACATCGTTGTGGCCGTGAAGGCAGTCTTGTCATCATCAGCGGGGTTCAGTCGAGCGCCCGAAGCGTCGACGCATTGGAGGCGCAAGTCCAGCTGCCCCCTGGCCCCGACCAGCAGCATGAGGATACGCGCTCGCCCGAAGACGAGCTTTTCGGAGAGACGAACGAGAGGAAGCTTGAGCGAACGGCTCACGGCCGCGCCGGTCGTCGAGGAGAATACCTGCCGCCCGTCTGCATGCCCCAACGTTTTCCCTTCCTCCTGCAGCGCACAGCTGCACACCGGCCCCGTGCCTGCCCGACCCCGGCCGATCTGCGCGAGGTGGAGGAGGAGGAGGAGGAGAAGGAGGAGGAGTTGGAGGAGGGGAGGAGGAGGAGGAGGAGGAGGAGGGAGCAGGAGGAGGAGGAGCAGGGAGGAGGAGGAGGAGGAGGAGGAGGAGGAGGAGGAGGAGGAGGAGGGAGGCGGAGAGGAGGAGGAGGAGAGGAGGAGGAGGAGGAGGAGAGGAGGGAGGGAGGGAGGGAGGGAGGGAGGGAGGGAGGAGGGAAGAGGGGTGTCTCCTGTGGCTCCTGGCAGGCGGGCCAGGCCCAGGATATCCCTCCCGACCCCGTGCGCGCGCGCAGAGAGTTCTGCCTGGCACGGTCCGTTGCGGCCACTGCCCCGAGGCCGCGAGCCAGCACAGCGGCCCAGGCCTGGCGGGCGAGTGTTGCCATGGGCGCAGAACTGGTTCATCGGAGGGAGGAGGAGGAGGGAGGAGGAGGAGGGAGGAGGAGGAGGAGGAGGAGGAGGAGGAGGAGGACAAGGAGGAGGAGGAGGAGGAGGAGGAGGAGGAGGAGGATCTCCGCCATGGGCACAGAACTGGTTCATCTCGACTACACGTAAGAGTGACCTTTCCCCGGAGTGACCTTTGGTGCGGGCCCAATGGGGTCTCCCGATCACCGAACGCGATGCGATAGTAGCGTCTTGCGCGCATGGGTTTGGCCCCCCCCGCGGCCAACCAAAATTCGCGCACCAAAGGTCACTCTTACCCAGGGTCACTCTTGCGTGTACTGTAGTCGATCATCGGAGGTGGACAGACCTCCTACCCTGACACGTCGATTAAGGAATTGGCCGTTTTCGGTTCGCGAGGGGGCGTCGCGGCCGTCATTTTTGCGGGTCCAGGTCCGTCGGTTGCGGTCCCAGGCCGTTTTCACTAAGGGGAGGTCTACTAAAGGGAGATTTGTCCGCCGCCCAGTTCAAAGCATAACAAATCGCACAAACATAGTCTCTGCGATCCGCGCTGATTTCTTGGATCGGCGCCGGGCTCCCCTGGCGGCGCCTCCGTCGCCGCCCCTGGCGCGCTTCAAGCACCCGAGAGGGTGGTCCAGCGCCGATCCAAGAAGTCTGCGAGGACCTCCGAGAAATCATGTGTATGCCGCTGCTTGTTCCCGTTAGTTGTACGTCAGGGGGGCGATGATAATTGCAATTGACCCTTGGAAGCTCATCTCGCCATGCGATCTGATCTCTGCCCCCAGGCAAGGATTACGCTGATTCGTCGATTCCGATCCGATTCCAGGTGGGAACAACAACACGACGGCCATTGCAGCTTCGCCCAGTGTCTGGGGGGCGTGCCTCGGAGACCTCTTGGGAGCCTGGGGGCAGACCTGGGGATCTTGGATGCGTCGGGAGACTGCTCCGCAGCAGCATCGAAGCGCCCACTCCAATCGCAGTGGCATCTCTGAGCGGCGCTCAACCGCCTTTGCATCGGAAGACTGCTCGTTACAGCATCGAAGCGTCTAGCACAGTCGTGGTGGCATTTTTGAGCGGCGTTCCACCGTGCTTGCGTGCCCCCAGGCCGTCATCGGGAGGGCTCGGAGGTTCCCAGGGCTCCCCTAGGTCGAAGCAAGACTGCTCGCAACAGCATCGAAGCGTCCATTGCAGTCGTGGTGGCATCTTTAAACGGTGCTCCACCGTGCTTGGCTGCCCCCCAGGCCGTCTTCAGGAGGGCTCGGAGATGCCCAGGGCTCCCATATGTGAGTCGAGGCACGCCTCCCAGGTGGTCAAAATTCAGGAGGGATTTTTTCTTAATTCCAGAAACACAGGCACAGGCAATCTGGCTCCGTAGAAGAGACGGGAAGGTATGGGAAGTGGGCGGGGGAGACGAAAGTAAAATATAAAATGTTGAAAAGGATGGGGAATCCGGGGACTTGTGTGTGTGTGTTTACTTGTGTGTTCCTGGCCCCCTTCGAAAACGACGGGGTTCGCTTGAATGGGCTGGCCCCAGGGCCGCCCTCTCAGGCGTCCAAAGGTGCCCCCGCACACCCAGCACTCCACACCGATGGCTGAGCATCCTCAGCAGCAGCAGCGTCCTCATCCTCTCCACTCTCCTCGCTGCAGAGTTCCCCGGCCAGAGTGACGCATGAAGATCGGTGTGTGTGTGTGTGCGCGCGCACTGCTGCCATCATCGGCATCAAGCTCGGTCCCGGGTCCACTCTATATGATGCCGTGCAAGCGTTCCAGGTCAGCAAGCCCCCTTGACTCATCGATGGACGTGTGTTCGTGTTTGTGTGTTTGTTGTATGTACTGATGTTGCCAGCCCTTTCTTGCCCTGACGCTGTATTTCTGTTGGTTCTTACCCGACGTAGTGCACATTCGGAGGACGTGGTGGTGGTGCCCACGAGCCGCTCTTTTTGTGTCGCCACACGACGTGGTGATTGGCACGTCGCCAAACGCCGTGAAAGGTGCGCATGCGTATGACAACCATCGGTCGGGGAGCGGTGTTGTCAAATCCAGTGGAACAGGGAAAAGTACAGAGAGAGGAGGAGAGAGAGAGAGAGAGAAAAAGAGAGAGCGAGAGAAAACTAGAGAGATGAATGAGAGATGGGTACGTTTGGGTTTTGCCGCCCTGCAGAAGCTCATGTTCGGGGAAAGTGGTGCTGGTGGTCACGAGTCAGCAAAACACGCCCCCATGTGATTATTCATGCTCCGGTTGTCGAAGATGCTAGCAATAAATAAAATACAAAAATAAAGTAAAATAAAAAATAAACTTTAAAAAAGAATAAACTAGGAAAAAAAAACAATAACAAATAATAGTTTCTATTTAAATCCATAAACAGAATACTAATTTGGCTGAAATTTCCCAGTTGTATCTAAATTATCACTATTGCATACGGCGACTCTCCGCCGACCCTTGCCTTCTGGAAACGTCTATGTATGTGGCCAAACGTTGGGCCAAAGTCTAGCAAGCTGTTGGGCTAATGTGTTGCCCCAGCCGTTGTTGGAAACCCTTGGGGGAAAACGTGGGGGAGCGGGGGGGGGGGGAAAGACCGGAGGAGAAGGAGGACGACGACGAGGAGGAGGCCTTTTGAGGCTCTCCTGGGGGCCTCCAGGGAGCCTCTTGGGGGCCTCTTGGGGGCCTCTGGGGCTCCTCTTGGGGGCCGTCTCCTCGGCTGTCGGAGCCCCGGAAAGGCGAGAGATCGGAAATCGTGGGAGAACGCATGGGGAACCACTCATAACGTCTTCGGGCCTCTCTCCAGGGTCTCCGGGGGTGGACGGCAGGTTCTTCAGGCTTGCGCGTGTGCGCTGGGCGACGGGTCGGCCGAGAGCCCTCGTTGGCAGGGTGCCGGAGCCTCCGTGCAGGGGAAGCGTGCCGACTCGAGCCAGCTCCGGGGGCTCGGAGGGGCCCCTGCTCCTTGCGAGAGCGCCGTCGGCGGCGGAGATGGGGCCTCGGAGCCAGCAAAAACCACGAGGAGGGAGGAGGAGGAGGAGGAGGAGGAGAGGAGGAGGAGAGGAGGAGGAGGAGGAGGAGAGGAGGGGAGGAGGGAGGATGGAGGCAGAGAGGAGGAGGAGGAGGAGGAGAGGAAGGAGGAGGAGGAGGGAGGTGGAGGAGGAGAGGGAGGAGGGAGGAGGAGGAGGAGGAGGAGGACGGAGGAGGGAGGAGGGTGAGAGGAGGAGGAGGAGGAGGAGGAGGCTCGGGAGGGGAGCAGGGAGGAGGAGGAGGGAGGTGGCTTCCCGCGCGCGGGGTCGGGAGGAGGAGCAAGCAGCCAGCCGGCCGACAGAGAGACAGACAGGCGGAGGCAAGCAGACGGGCAGACTCGGAGGAGGGCCGGTGGAGACAGCGGCAGTTGGGCTTCGGGGGGGGGCTCGTCGCCACGACCTGGGGCACAGCTCGGAGAAACGGTGCGTCTGAGCTCCGGGAGGGGGCCCCTCCCCAGCACCTCGGCACCGCTTGCACCCCGGGCCCTGCCCCCTCCGGCCGCCTGAGGCCCCGCCCGCCTTTGCCCTGTCTGCCTAATTAGAGCTGTGCGTAGCCCGCCTAGCTTTTAGCGGAAGAGGTTCGCTCTCGCCCCGCCGACCAAAAATTCCGGGAGGGGGCCTGCCGTCGTCTCAGCTCGCCATGCTCCCACAGACGGGCGCAGGCTGGCCTGGAGATCGGCTGCGAGTTTCGCCCAGACGGTCAGCAGAAGCTCGAGAAGTTGTTTCAGGAGATGTTCAGCGCTGTCGTCGTGTGCATGATTTACCAGGAGGGGTTTGGCGCAGGGAGGGTCAAGTACACAGGATCTAAATCACATCAGACCCTTCTGTACGCTGATACCCAGGCTCATCAGGCTGCTCTTTCTCATCCTGTCCCTCATCATTATTATCATCATCATCATCATCACCACCACCATCATCATCATCATCATCAGCATCATCATCATCCTCGGCGTCAACGCCGTGACCGTTGAGCCCCAATGTTCGGCAAATGCGCGGCCACCAGTCGGAACCAGGTCCCGTCGAATAGTTATGTCGGGTTAAGCGCGACTCCGACAGAGCGAGGATTGCTTTTATGCGATAGGCTCCTCCTCCTCCTCCTCCGCCGACTCCTCTTACTGCTTTCTCCTGTCTCCTCCACTCAGATCGTGGTGCCGCGTCCAACGCGCACCCTGAAGACAAACTCATTGCCAGCGCCAAACTTTCGTCACAGTCTGAGCTGTACCACCATCATCATCACCATCGTCATCGTCAGCATCAGCATAATCATAATCATACGCATAATCGTCATCAGCATCACCATCACCATGATCACCATCATCATCATCATCATCATCATCATCATCATCATCATCACCACAACCACCACCATCATCATCATCATCATCATCATCATCATCATCATCATCATCATCATCATCCTCAACGGTATCCTCAGTCTACTTCTCATCATCCTCCTCCGACTCGTTACCCTCAGCCGCCTCCCCCTTCGCTTGCTTATCTCCATCTGCATCAACCTCATACTCCGCCTCTTCCCCTCCACCTCTTGATTCTCCCCTCTCCCGTTTCGCCTGTTCCTCCTCATTCTCACGTTCATCATCCTCCCAATATTCTTTCTCACCTTCATCCGCATCCCGATCATGATCTTCAGTAGTAGCATCATGGCATACCCCCCATCCGCATCATAGGTTTATTATTGCTCCTTATGGTACTCATATTCATGTTCCTGCTTCTGATTCTCCCCCTCCTTCAATTCAACAGCTTTCAAAATGCTGCTCCTCCACCTCCTCCTCGTACGCACGCACTCCTAATCGAAGACGCCACCAGTGCATCACCAACCGCTACCTGGCAGTGTGGCGCCGAAGTAGGACGAAGCGTTGCGAGTATGATAAATGTTGTGTTGTCTTTTGCGGTGGGTTCGGGGCCCTGTGGAGGCGTGTATTCACAACCATCTTGGTTGGTATTTTGGTGAATCCCCAAAAGCCCATCCAGAATCGATTATTTGGGAAGTTGCGCGATAAGGAGGAGGGGGAGCATCAGTCGCAGAAAGAGGGGAAGCACCAGTCAAGCAGAAGCTGTGACCAGCCCGAACAGCTGTCCAAAATGGCCAACTCGAGAGCGCATTGCAGACCCACTTGAGCCATCCTCGGGAGTTTCTTGAAGGCTTCTTGAGAGATGTATGGGTCACCCTTGTTGGCACCTGCTCCCGTGCTACGGTGGCCATGCGCGACACCCACCTCCAATGAGCGGCCAGTCTTGCTATGATATTTCCCCGTTCTCCTTTCATGCTGGCGCCCTGGCGCCCACCCGTTTCACTCGCGTTGGTGCCGCCATGAGGGACTGCGTTGTGCACTGTATTGTGCCTCTTGTAGTCCTCTTGGGGCCCTCGCGGGGAGCTTTGGAGCCCTCTTTGGGGCCATCCAGCGGAGGGCACTCAGCTACCGTCCCTCCCTATAGGGCTTGAAAGTGAACTCTTGGGCGCTCTCGGGGCTCATTCGGAGTTCTCTTCGAAAGCCGTCTGGGCTCCTCTGGGGGCCCTTCCGGGTCACTCTTTGGGTCTTCTTGGCCACCATGGAGCCATTTAGAAGCCAGGCCCATCAAAAGCGAAAAAGGTATAAGGCGAAACGCACAGAAAAACAAAACGTTGGTGATAGGCTTTTGCCTCTTGAGGGCTTCCTTGTGTGGATGTGGGGTCATCTTAGAGCCACTCGGGCCGAGTCAGACTGGCTGAGGCATTCTTACACGCACACACACACACACACACACACACACACACACACACACGCACACACACACACACACACACACCACAGGCGCATTCCGATATCACTGATCAAGTTTGTGCCACCATGTTTCTACGCCTGTCACGGACGCGCCGTGGGCCAGATAAAGAGTGTACCTTCCCTGCGCGCGACGCGATGCGCGCGCGAACCTCGGGTGTCCCCGACCCCGCCCGCCCTGCGCTCGCCCCCGCCGAGTGCGCGACGCCCCGTGGAAGGAACAAAAAAACGATGGGACAATGGTGCTGACACGATGCTGAGATTCGCGCGCGCTTCCCCGCCCCCCTCCCCGCTTTCCCCTCTCCCCTTGAGCTCGTCTCCAAATCCCTTATTAATCGACCCCCCCTAAAAAACCGGACCCCCCTCCAAGTGCGACCTAATATTCCGGACCCGATGGGGCGCCTTAATAGACCAGACCCCCTCAGCTCCAATCCAAAGAAAGCGACCTAATAAACCGGACCCCCTTAATGACCAAAAAGGCGCCTTAAAAAACCGGACCCGGGGGACGATTGATAAGGGATTTGGAATATTGCGCGCTTGCGCCAATAGCAAGCACTGCCCGGCATACCTGCGCGCTGGCGCCTGCCGTGGCAGGGCGACGCCCGTGCCGCAGTGTCTGACGCGCCGGAGGCGCCTGCGCTTCGCCATGGGCGGTGCCTGGGCGCACACGAGCCGGTGCCCGCGGCGCCTGCGCGAGCATCGCGATCGCCAGGAGGTGCCTGCGCCCCACCGCTTCGCGTGGTCGCGGTGCCCGTGCCTGGCCCCGAGCAGCGCCCGCGCGGGTGCATCTGCGGCCCCCGCGGCGCCGGCGTTGACAGTTCGGATGGCGAGGCGACGCCTGCACCCTGTGGCTTGACTCGCTTGCGGTGTCTGCATCGAGCCATGCGCGGCGCCCGCGCTGATGGAGCGACGGTGCCCGCGGTGCTGGCGAGAACGTCGCCACGGCGTGGTGGCGCCTGCACCTTCTTATTCGACGCGCTTGCAGTGCAGGCGCCGAGTCGCAAGCGCTGCCTGCGCTGATGCAGCGACGTCGCTGGTCTTGCGTGGAGCTGGCAGCAGCCACCTAGGCGCGGAAATCATCGAAGCCTGTGCTCGAGGGGTCGACTTTGCGACGGCTCACGGTGCGCCCACCTCGCCTGCCAACTCGCGGAGCCCGGATAAGGCGTTCCGATTCTTGTCGTTGGCTGACATTCAGTATCGGAAGATGGAAATCAAAATGAAGCCAAAGTGGCCACGGATGGCATCGGCGTGCATGCGCAGATGATGGCGACGGCGGCGACGGCGATTGAGACGAGGCAACCCCCGCGGCCGCGATCGCGATGATCTACATTGCAAGCCGCCACGCGGATCGGCACCCAGTAAATACTCCTGGTCTGTAGGGATAATGAGCTGAAGTAGGGAAACACTGTTATGGCGCTGGAAGTGTCATGGCGCTGTCTTACAGCTTTCCGGGGGGGCCAGAGACGCCGGACACGTCCGAAGTGCCCAGGGGCCGCCGGCTGAGATGGGTCTCATAGGAAGCATTGGCAGTGGCAAGGCATTGGCCGATTGCGCCAAAAACTTGGACAAAGTGATCTCGCATAGCCCAAACCGCAGGTGGGAATTGCCGAAAATGACGACGCTTACGGCCAGTCACCGCCGCCCCTTGCCTTATGTAGGCATTTGCGTGGCCGGGTGTCATGCGAAAGTTCGGCCACGCTACACACTGTACGGGCAGATTTCCAAAATAGCTTTCGGTCTCAGGGCGCTCTCGGGCTCCCTGGGGCCCCTTGAGGCCGTCTTGTGGGTGCCTGGGGGGTCCTCTTTGGGCCTATCTGTGGCCCTCTTCGGCCGTCTTGGGGCTCGCCTCAACCGTCGCCAGCCTCTCAGGAGTCCTTTTTGGAGCGCTTTGTGGCCACATCAAACTGTCGTGGGACTCCCTTTTCGGCCATTCTGGGGCCCTCTTGGGGCTGCCTTTGGGTCCTTATGTACAACATCGGGACTGTATTCAACAGCTCCTGGGCATCTCTTGGGGCGCGAAGTCCGAAAAGGCAATCAGGAAGAACACATGTAACAAACATGGCATGTTTCTCGACTGTGTTTGCATGTCGGGTGCCATTACTGGGGCTCTCTTGGGCCGCATTGGAAGCCTCATGGGTCGTTTTGCAGTCCTCGTCGGCCGTCTTAGAGGCTACATTGACCGTCCTGGAGGCCTGTCCGAGGCTGGTCTGCCCGGGGGCGCACGCGCTCGCCGGCCGTTGCTTGAGCTCTTCTGCGCCGCCCCCCTTAGCAGCCAGTTGCCGGTTCGTCCGAGGCTGGTCTGCGTGGGGAAAGCGCGCGCGCGCCGGCACCGTTTTCTGATTTCTTCTGCGCATTGCCGTGGCGCAGGAAAAAAAAAAAAAAAAAAAAAAAAAAAAAAAAAAAAAAAAAAAAAAAAAAAAAAAAAAAAAAAAAAAAACGTCCTGGAGGCCACCAGGGCCGGACATGGAGGCGTCTTCAGGGCCAACGAGGCCCCAAGAGCACCCGAGGTACGCAGTCTGGCGAGGTCCGGCGGCAGACGGCGAAGGCCTCGTTGGGAGGGTTTGGGGAGGCCCAGAAGCAGTTGTTAAATTCGGCATGCCCAGCATCCTTGTGATGCATCAGCAAGGGGCGGCGAGGTTTTCGTTCTCTGCCGCGGGCTCTTCCTGACTGGCTGGCCTGCGGGCTGGCGTAATGGTTGCCAGATGGGTGGCCTGGTTGGCCGGCTGGCTGGTTGGCTAGCCGGCTGGTTTGCTGGTTGTCTGTCTGGTCTGTTGGCGGTCTGGCCGACTGGCTGGCCAGCTGGCTTGTCGATTGGTCGGTTTACCATACCAAGGTGGCGAAGGGGGTCAGGGGAAAAGAGGGGACCAGGGGGAAGGGGACCGGGGGGAAGATGACCTGAGAGGGAGCCTGCGGTTCCACGCGTACGTGCACACAGATGGGGTTCCACACGCACGAGGCCGGTTCCTCACGCACGCGGCTCCATCCAAGATCGACGCGACGACGATCCTCGAGCTGCGTTTTCACAGCGAACTTCGGTGGTGCTTTCGTGGGGCATCCCCTGTGTCGGGGGAGCGTAAGACCCGGGTTTGCCAGGACTCGGGTTCGCCATCGTTTTTTGACGACCGCGACTCGGATTTTGACGAGGAGGACTTTTGTGGGATGTCTGCAGCGGGAGGCCTCGTCAAAATGCAGGCTCGGCCTCGTCGTTTTTTTGACGACCTCGTCGGGGATTTCCGAGTCCCCCGTACCCGGGTCTTACGTCTCCCCGACTGTGGAAATCCATGCGGTTCGGCATGCCGTGGAGGCACGGAAGGCGAAGGGCGGGGGCCTCAGGGCGTGCCCGCCGGAAGGCTGGGAACCTTTGGGGCCACACAGGGGTCGGCGGCGCGCACAAAAGGGTGGCGCCTCCGCGCCACGGGGATCCGAGCATTCACTCAAGAGGGGAGAGAAATCGCACAGACACAATTCATCATCTATTCCCCCGAATGTATGTGGGAAAATATTGGATGTGGGGGGGGCAAGACAAAGACCCCGAAGATGTAGGGAAATATAGGGGAAGCCTGTTGTTTGTGTGTATTTCTTTGTGTCTGTCCCAGGGCCCCTTTATTCACACACGGGGGCCCAGACATTCACGCACGGGGATCCGAACACACCGCTCTCTACACAGATGGGGCGATCCGTTGGTGCACGGCTATGATCAAATGGGGGGGCCGCGCGCTGGCACCACGTGAAGCCAGACAGCACAAGTCCACACACACACATATATATATATAGGTCTGTGTATGTATATATATATATACACACACATCCAAAACCTTCGGAGATCGATAGACCTTCTACCCTGACACGTCGATTAAGGAAGTGGCTGTTTTCGGTTCGCGAGGGGGCGTCGCGGCCGTCACTTTTGCGGGTCCAGGTCCGTCGGTTTCGGTCCCAGGCCGTTTTCACTAAGGGGAGATTTGCTAAAGGGAGGTTTGTCCACCGCCGAAACCTATAAGTTGTGCCTGCTTGGGTTTCTGTTACGAGCTCCTTGGCGCCTTTCCGAGCTTCGCTGGGAGCTTCTGACCGGCCTCTTGGGGCCTTTGTGGCTGCCTTGGAGTCGCTTGGACGCACCACGGGCCGTCCTGAGGCCCTTCTCGAACCATGTTGGGCAAAGATCTCGCGGCCTCTTTGTGCCCTCTTGGACGGTTCTGGCCTGGGGTGCCGGAAGAGCCGTACACACGTGATCAGCCTGGCGCGACGCGAATTGCCAGACCTTCCCAAACAGTGCCTCCATTGTAGGGACTTGTGCCCCGGGGGGCCTGGCCCGCCGCAGCCGGCCGTTCGCGCAGTCGGTGCCCGGGGACTTCTCGCGCTCAGTACCCTGCGGCCGGTGCTGGGTGGTGGGTGCTCTGCGGATGGCGGCTACGCGGAACAAACAATTGTGTAAACATACACTTTCGGGGCTCCGCGTGGATTTCTTGGGTCGGCGCCTAGACCTCCCTGGCGGAGCCTCCGGCGCAGCCGCCCCTGGCGCGCTCCTCGCGCCAAGGAAGGGGGTCCAGGGCGGATCCAACTTCCGAAAAGCTATGTTTATACAGTTGTTGCTCGTCTAGTGGTTGGCGCTCTGTGACTTGCACCACAGCCCGCACATCGGGAGCGCACGACCCTATTGCTTGGGGTCGACGCGCTTGCATCGTTGCTCCCGAAGCGATGCAAAGCAAGGAATTGCGCAGCAAAGTAATGCACAGATTTGCAGACCACGCCAAATCAACGCAGCATCTTGCAGTGTAGTACAAAACCGAGCGAAGCAAAGCAACTAAAGCAAAACCATGCAAGCTATACCGCGTAAAGCACTTCGACTCACACGAAGCAAAGCAACGCACGTCAGTGAACAGCGAGTGGAGGTCATGCTTTACGTGTTGATGCACAGCAGGGCAGAGTAAGCAACGCAACGCACAGTAGTGCCGTGCAGAGCGAGGCAGGGCGATGCAATCGGGAGCACCACAGTCTAAATCAGAGCGACGCAGCCAATCCAAAGCAAGGTGAAACGAGCAATGCTTAGCAAAACCCATTAGAGCGATGCAATAGGGGTCCACAGCTGCAGTATTACTATCAAAAGACGTGAGGGAACCGACGTCAAGTTGATATGCAAGAACATTGAGTTCTGCGGTTTTTGCAAAATTTTGAGAAATTCGACAATAATTCTTTTCATAATCGAGCATTTTTCTATCAACATTGGATCACGCTGCGTTTGCTGGTGAATGTCCGAGGCTCCGGGCGCCGAGCCCGAGGGCCCGAGAGCGCAGGAAGGAAATTCCGGTCGCCCGGGCGGCTCGGGCAGCCCCGCCCCCCCCCCCTCCCCGCCGGTGCCCCGGGAGCCGGGGCAGGCCACGCCAGGGCCCCCCCCGGCCCCCTGCACAGGAAGGAGCGAAGACTCCCTGTGCCAAGCCTGGGGGGGGGGGGGAATGCGACCAGAGTTTGTTCCCTGACCTTCCAGGAGGGCTATAAAAAATAGCACCCGACTTAAGAACCTTGGTTTTAGGCTGTTTCGCTCAGCTTTTCAGGTTTTTAGGTCTCCAGTGCTAGAGAGTAGCTCTCTGGAAGGTCAGGGTTGTTAGTCGTCCGGGCGGCTCGAGCAGCCCCCCCCGCAGGTGCCCGCGACACGGGGCAGGCCACGCCAGGGCCACCTGGCCTTAAGTCGGGCCTGTCCCTCTACAGGGGGAGTATTCAAAAATACTAGAAAAAATAGTCCGGGGACTATTTTTTTACATTTCTTTTGCCATTTTGGAGTATGTTGGGGTATTTTTTATTTTCCGTCGAAAATCCCCCTGTAGGGGGACACTCCCGACTTAAACCTAGCCCTTTGCACAAGAAGAAGTCGGGATCCATTGTGCTAAGCCTAGGGGGGGGGAATGCGGCTAGAGTTTGCTGTTAATCGTCCTCGATGGGCAGCCCCATCGCGCGGCTGGGCGTGTGGTCTTGCAAACATCACGCAGTGCTGACCACATCTCTCTGTCCATGGCGTAACCCTCATATGTTTAGCTCCCCACATAGATAGATAGATGGATAGATAGGGTCTCCAGTTGGACCCCCGCGGGGACGGCCGCACAGCGCTCTTGGGACAAAACAGTTCGACACGGGGACCGCGCGAAGCATCTCATCTCGTCCGACCGCTCGCCGGCCATCATTCCCCGAGTGTCTTCGCGAGCAGCCCAGCCTTCGCCACCGCCGCAGCGGACGAGCCGCGAGGCCGTGCCGCGGAGTTGCCGGGCTCCCCCGCAGGCCGAGGCACCCGGGCCGCATCCCCACGCCGTCGTCGGCGGCTCCTCGTGGAGCGTCCTCGTCCCTGCCGAGCCGTCACGGATGTCATCCCCCGCATCGGCAGCACTCAGGAGGGAAAGAAACACGCAGACACAATTAATCGTCGATTCCCAAGAAAATATGGGAAAATATGGGAAAAGGGGGGAAGACGAGCTGGTTCCCTGCCGCTGCAAGTGCTCATTCGAGACGCGTGCATCGTAAAGGTTGGCATTTTGCTTGCGGCCGCCGCGCCAGATGCACGTGCGTGCACGCGCGTGGCTCAGCTCAAATCTCTTAATAGCCGTCGGCAGTGCAGGGATTATTGTGCATCAGCTATCTCATCGAGGACCCGTTCGGGGACGACTTCATCGATTTCCCAATCATGTACTCATTCGTTCGTTTGCACATGTTCTCCCAGATGTGTTTACGTTGCGTGTTTGTGCTTTTCGCGCCTGCGGCGCAGCTCTTTCGTCCATACTGCGGGCGCGCTGGAGATGCATACGGTACCATGCAGATGCTGAATAAAAGACTGGCATGGCTACGTGATATGACAGAGCAGGAAGAAATTATATTGTGTTTGCTGCTTATTCGCCGCTCTCGGTGAACGTATTATTCATGGAGCTTTCCCCAGAGAGACATGAGCAAGAGACCTTAGAGCAGCAGCAGCAGCAGCAACAGCAGTAACGAGAGATGATGGGCGACAGACGAACATTGTGGAAGAGAGCGTCTTGATGTCAGCACCTTGCTAGCATGTTGATGCACATTCCCCCCAGTATGCTACAATTGCGGTGGCGTTGCGTTCGGGTTGGCACGCCCTTCCTGTGCATCATACATCGCATTCGGAGTCGAGTCCAGCCGAAAGTACAGAGCGTCGCCATCGCACGTCGAGCCATGCGAAGCCTCGCATTCAAAACTTCAACTATCCTTCGAGCATTTTAGCAGCGCTTCCTGGACCTCGGCTGGTCGCTCCGAGCGGCGCGAACAGGTCCTGCAATCGTCTCACTTGCTCCAGGCGTCGCCTCCGTACGAAGACGCGGGCGAAGTGGATCTTCCTCTTCGCGCGGCTAGGGTTAAGTCGGGCCTGTCCCTCTACAGGGGGAATATTCAAAAATAGTCAAAAAGTAGTCTGGGGACGTTTTTTTATACTATTTTGACATCTTGGGGGGTATGTTTTGAGTATGTTTTATTTGTTCGCCCAAAATCCCCCTGTGGGGGGACACGCCCGACTGAAGGATAGGGCAGGACCCAGACACCCGATGCCTTGAACCTGCAATACGGGGCCCCCGGGCGTCCCGACCCTTCCCTGGAGTGACCTTTCGCCGGAGTGACCTTTGGTGCGGGCCCAATGGGGTCCCCCGATCACCGAACGCGATGCGGTAGTAGCGTCTTGCGCGCCTGGGTTTGGCCCCCCCCCCGCGGCCACCCAAAAGTCGCGCACCAAAGGTCACTCTTACCCAGGGTCGCTCTTGCGTGTAGCCGATGGAACCTGCAACACTCGGGGGTGGCCAGAACCCCCAACAGTGGCACGTCGATTCGTGAATTGTCCGCTTTCGGTTCTCGGGAGGGCGCCGTGGCCGTTCATTTTCCAGACTTGCGCCCGCCAGGTTTGGGCCTCAGGTCGTTTTCACTAAACCACGTTTTGCTAAAGGGGGGCCTGTCCAGTAGTTGTGGCACCGTCTTCCCAGCTACGTGCGCTCCTCGATCATCCTCCTCATCATCATCCCTCTCCTCGATCCTCCTCTTCCTCCTCCTCCTCCTCCTCCTCCTCCTCCTCCTCCTCCTCCTCCTCCTCCTCCTCCTCCTCCTCCTCCTCCTCCTCCTCCTCCTCCTCCTAGGGCCGAAACACGGGGCCCCCGGACGCCCCGACCCTTCCCCAGGGCTGCGTCTACGCCCCGAGCTTCTCCGTCGACGGCCCCAGGGCCCGGCGAGGACCCCCCGAGGCCGAACACGGCCGACGGCCTCCCACCACGATCCTCTCCTCCTCCTCCTCCTCCTCCTCCTCCCTCCTTCTTCCTCCTCCTCCTTCCTCCTTCCTCCTCCTCCTCCTCCTCCTCCTCCTCCTTCCTCCTTCCTCCTCCTACTCCTTCCTTCCTCCTCCTCCTTCCTCCTCCATGATCCTTCCTCGCGTTAAGTCGGGCCTGTCCCTCTACAAGGGGAATACTCAAAAATAGTCAAAAAATAGTCAGGGGACAATTTTGGGGGGTATTGTTTTACCCTTTTGGAGCTTTTTCTGGAGTATGTTTTATTTTTCGTCGAAAATCCCCCTGTGGGGGGACACGCCCGACCTGATCCTCACGGTGCGAGCACCTCTGGGGAGGCGCGGCAGGAGAAAGAGCGGCCGGAGCAGCCCTGGCCAACCGCTGCGCAGCGGGCACCCGGCCGCACGTCCGCAGCGCGGCGGCCGAGGGCCTGGGCAGAGGGGCGCCGCAAGGGCAGGCGCCCGACGGCGGCGGCCGAGCCGAGGGGCTGCGAGCTCGGGGGCTCGATGCTGCGAGCCCGTGCGCGCCCCGCGTTCTCGGACGAGCTGTCGGAGCAGCGGTCACCCGTGGCACGAGGTGGCAGCGCGCTGCCGTCGTGGCGAGAAAACTGCATAAATCGCAGGCGAGCGAGGGGGGGGGAAGTCAGAAGGGGAAGGCCTTCTCAGAAAGCGGCGGGGCTTCTCAAAAGCTCCCGCGCCTTCCGAAAAGTTTTCAGCGTCTCCGAGGGAGGCTCAGAAATGTTCTCAGAAGGCCGGGGGACGTTCGAGCCTTCTAAGAGGGCCCGTTCCTTTTCACTTTCCCCCTGGGCTCGCCGCCGAATGAACATGAATTCTTAGAGCCCCGCGCGGAGTTCTGGGATCTGCGCGGGGCCCCCCTGGCGGCGTCTCCGGCGCCGCCCCTGGCGCCCTCCGCGCGCCAGGGAGGGGGGCTGCGCGGCGATGCAAGAAGTCCGCGCGGAGCTCCAAACGTCGCTGCTTCTGCAGTTGGGCGTTCCCCTATCTGGCCCGTCGGCCGGGCCGATGCAATCGCATCCGCCTCCTCCTCCTCCTCCTCCTCCTCCTCCTCCTCCTCCTCAGCCTCCTCCTCCTCCTCCTCCTCCTCCTCCTCCTCCTCCTCCTCCTCCTCCTCCTCCTCCTCCTATCGAGCCCGTCGGCCGGGCCGATCCAATCGCATCCGCGAGCCAGGGGGGACAGTGCCACAGCGGAGGGGCGCATCGCAGGGAGCGCCCGGCCAGAGGGGCGGCCGAGAGGCTGGCAGCGGGTCTGGACGGCACGCACCCTGGCACCGTCCACGAAACGTGCCATGCCTGCGCCCCTCCTGGGGGGAGGACAACTGCGTCGAGTTGCGGGAGTCTCCCTGCTTTCATCCCAATTCCCCCCCCCCCCGCGCTCTGCCTCCTCCCTCCTCCTCCTCCTCCTCCTCCTCCTCCTCCTCCTCACCATCATCCCTCTCCTCCTCCTCCTCCTCCTCCTCCTCCTCCTCCTCCTCCTCCTCCTCCTCCTCCTCCTCCTCCTCCTCCATTCCTGTTCCTTATGAATAACTCCTCCCTGTCGCACGCCGACCAGGTCTCTCACCAATTACGTTGCCGACTCCGTCCACACTGTGCAGAAGGCACAGCATGACTTCCCAGCGAGAGAAAGGCCGCCCCCCCCCCCCGAGGAGAGGCCGAGGAGGCGGGAGAGGAGGGCGAGGAGAGAGGAAGGAAGGAAGGAAGGAAGGAAGGAAGTCTGGAAGGAGGGAGGGAGGGAGCAGGCAGAGGCGGGGGCGGGTGGAGAGCTCGTGGGAAGAGTTCGGTGTGCACGTTCAGTCTGATTGCCCGCTGGTCTTGATAGAGTTCAAGCCGTAGTTCAAGTCCAAGTCCATGAAGGGTGGGCGTCAGGCAAGGATGTCGGCTGAGGTGACTCGGGATGGCAGTACGAAGACTGGCCAGAGGTGCCGTGGCCATGCCGTCAGCTGGCCATTTAGGCCCAGGACTCTTCGCCGAGCTCATGCCAGGCTTCTCCACAGCCGCACCGGTCAGAAGAGTGGTCCTCTGATGCCTTGGATCAGGTGTTGCCAAAGGTGTCCTTGGCCCGATTGTGAGATCGCTCGTGCGATCGATATTGAAATCGATTGTGATATCGATACTGAACCGGTGGAGAGGTCGGTAATGAGACCGATGGTGAGACCGATCGATAAGGAGATCGACCAAGAACCTGGGAACCCGGGAACCCCGCCGCCCACTGAAATCACCCCAGAACCAGCAAACGGGAATCCGGCAACCCGGAACCGGGAACCCAGGAGCCCGGCCGCCTACCGAAATCGGCCCGGAATGTTCGCCAAATCTTTCAATATCCGCTAGGACCCTTTCAGTGCAAGCGCTAACTGGGGAACCACAAGTTTTCACATGGAATTTTGCCAATCGGGCCGCTCGCGCCGCATGCCGAAATCATTCGAACGCCCTTGCGCGCGTGCTGGGGGGGCACGGTCTTTTTCAGATCATACCATGCGGGCCACTCTCGCGCGTCGGCCGCGCGCGCATGCCGAACTCCATCCAAAACCTTCATCACCGACTCGAGGACGCCGTCATCGTCGTCGGCGTGACCAGCATCGGCGCCGTTACTGGCCGTGCCGTCGTCGTTGTCAGCATCGTCACCAGCATCGCTACTATCATCATCGTGTCCACTGTTGTCGACGTTGCCATGATGCCGCGCCCGCCCAAGCCGCCGACTCGGAAGTGCCCGCTGGGATGTGCCAAGCGGTCAGCGCTACCGCGGCCGCGTCGGTCGCGCCGAGCTAGCTGGCCGCCGCGCGCAAGTGCATGCGCGGGCTGGCGCGGCCGCAGAGGTGCACCAGCCAACTCCAAGCACTCATGGCAATCGCCGCCGCCCGCGTTTTGCAAGACAGGTTGCGGGTGGGTGGGCGGGGTGGTTGCGCGAGCAGTGGAGTTGACAACTGCGAGTTCCACAAGTGAATGGCACCACATAGAGTGCACCACGATTTCGCCACATAGATGGCACCACGTAGGTTGCACCACGTACATCGCACCACGTAGATTGCATAACATAGGTTGCGCCGCATAGATTGCACCGCGCAGATGGCACCACAGAGTTGCTCTTCTTTCTGAGAAAGAATCAGGATCTACCTCCCCCCATTGGATTCTCCGCCCGTCGTTTTGAATTTCGACTTTCATGCGATGTTGCCTAATCGCGCATTCTAAATCTGAGCTCGTACTATCCCAGCCCAGCCAGTATCGACCCCCCCCCCGCCGTCCTTTGCAAAAGAATCAGACCATCAATGTTCAAGATTCCGTGGCAAACAACAGGACGAAGTGCACACGCGCGCGCGTCGTCGCGGGCGCATGCCGAAATCTGTCCAGAGCACTTAGTTGTCGTAAGGATGCCAAAACGCAAGTGTCCCGAAACCATGTACAAAAACACATGGTTTTGCAAACTCAGTGTTCGAAGCAAGGTTTGGGCGCGCTCTTGGAGTCGTAAGAAAACCATCCGTTGTTCAGCATGATCGTCAATCTCGACCATGCGGGCCTCTCGCGCGCGCATGTCGACATCATTCGAACGCCCCTGCGCGCGTGCTGGGGGGGCACGATCCGTGTCAAAGAAGCAGGCCACTCGCGCGAGTCGGTCGCGCGCGCGTGCCGAACTCCATCCAAAACCCCCATCACCGATTCGAGGACACCATCGTCGTCATCGGCGTAATCACCATCGGTGCCGTCATTGGCGTTGCTGGTGCCATCATCATCCTTGTCACGTTTCCAAAAAACATACATAAACACAGGGTTTCGCAACACAGATTTGCTAAAAAAACTTCCGCGCGAACTGTTACGAAATCGTTCTCCTTTTTAAAAAGACAACAGACTCTACCCCCCCCCGGACTTATCGGTTCCCCATGGGATACTACGATTTCGTATATATTCTGCACACGCCCATCCGAAATATGAAATCATACAATCCCAGCTAGGCCGGTTCCCCCCCCTGAGATTCATTTGTAAAACACACTGTGCGGTGACATTTTTTTGTTCTAACATAGCGCTTTTTCGCGAATCCCTTGCAATATATGAGACGAAGTGCACACGCGCGCGTCGTCGCGCGCGCATGCCGAAATCCTTCAAAAACCTTCGGTGCGGGAAGGATTTCGCAATCGAGTTTCCAAAAAAACATACAAAAACATAGGGTTTCGCCACTGACTTGCTAAAAAAGCTTCCGCGAAAGCTCTTGCGAAATCTTAAGAAAACCATAGGTGTTTCAAGATTCCCACAAAATGCTACCAAACGGGCTTCGCGCGCGCTCATGTCGAAATCTGTCGAACGCCCTTGCGCGTGTGCCGTCGCGAGAATCCCCTGCAAAAAACGTGACGAAGTGCAGACGCGCGCTTCGTCGCGCGCGTATGCCGAAAACCTTCAAAACCCATCGGTTCCGGGAGGATTTCAAAATCGTGTGTCCAAAAAACCTACAAAAACACAAGGGTCCGCAACACGCATTTTCAACAAAAGCGTGCGCGCGCGCTCTTGCGTCGTCGTCGTCGTCCTCCTTCCTCCCTCGTCGTCGTCGTCGTCGTCGTCGCCGTCGTCGTTTTCTGTCTTTCCTCGTCGTCGTCGTCGTCGTCGTCTTGGCGTCGTCGTCGCTTCCGTCGTCGTTGTCGCCGTGGTCGTCCTTCCTCCCTCGTCGTCTTCGTCGGCGTCTCGTCGTCGTCCCTCCTATTTCGTCGCCGTCGTCGTCGTCGTCGTCGTCGTCTTCACTCCTCCCTGGTCGTTGTCCTCCTCCCACGTCGTCGTCGTCGTCCGTCGTCGGCGTCGTCGTAGTCTTCGTCGTCGTTGTCGTCGTCGTCTTCCCTCCTCCCTCGTCGTTGTCGTCGTCGGCGTCGCCGTCCTTCTTCCTTCTTCGTCGTTCGCGTCGTCGCCTTTTTCCCTCCTCCATCGTCGTTGTCGTCGTTGTCGCCGTCGTCGTCCTCCCTCCTCTCTCGTTTTCGTTGGCGACGTCGTCGTCGTCTTCGTCGTCGTCGTCGGCGTCGGCGTCGTCGTCGTCGACGTCGGCGGTGTCGTCGTAGTCGGTGTCGGCGGCGCCGTCGTCGTCGTTGTCGCTGTCGTCGTCGTCGGCGTCGGTGTCGTGGCCAAGTGCCATGTGGTACCTACCGACACGGTCTTGTCTTAAGAGGTTTTGCGACCAAGTTGCGGGTGGGAGGGTGGGATGTTTGCACGAGCAGTAGAGAGGACAGCTTCAAGACGGTCAAAGTGAAGAAAACCATAGGTTTTTCAAGATTTTCACAAAATGCTATTAAACGGGCTTCGCGCGCGCGCATGTCGAAATCTGTCGAACGCCCTTGCGCGTGTGCCGTCGTGAGAATCCCCTGCAAAAAATGTGACGACGTGCAGACGCGCGCGTCATCGCGCGCGTATGCCGAAATCCTTCAAAACCCATCGGTTCCGGGAGGATTTCAAAATCGTGTGTCCAAAAAACCTACAAAAACACAAGGTTTCGCAACACGGATTTTCAACAAAAGCGTGCGCGCCCACTCTTGCGTCGTCGTCGTCGTCGCCGTCCTCCCTCCTCCCGCGTCGTCGTCGTCGTCGCCTACGTCGTCCTCTGTCTTTCCTCGTGTTCGTCGTCGTCGTCCTGGTTGGCGTCGTGGTCGTTTCCGTCGTCGTTGTCGCCGTGGTCGTCCTTCCTCCTCCTCCCTCGTCGTCGTCGTCGTCCGTCGTCGGCGTCTCGTCGTCGTCCCTCCTATTTCGTCGCCGTCGTCATCGTCGTCGTCGTCGTTGTCGTCGTCGTCTTCCTTCCTCCCTCGTCGTTGTCGTCGTCGGCGTCGCCGTCCTTCCTCCTTCGTCGTTCGCGTCGTCGCCGTCCTCCCTCCTCCCTCGTCGTTGTCGTCGTTGTCGTCGTTGTCGTCGTTGCCGCCGTCCTCGTCCTCCCTCCTCCCTCGTCGTCGTCTTCTCGTTGGCGACGTCGTCGTCGTTGTCTTCGTCGTCGTCGGCGTCGTCGACGTCGGCGTCGTCGTCGTTGTCGTCGTCGGCGTCGTCGTCGTCGGTGTCGTCGTCGGCGTCGTTGACGTCGTCGTCGTCGTCGGTGTCGTCGTTGTCGTCGTCGTCGGCGTCGTCATCGTCGTCGTGGGTTTTGCAAAACAAGTTGCGGGTGGGGGGGCGGGATGTTTGCAAGAGCGCGGGATGTGTCAATTCGTTTGTTAAAATCAACTGCACTACATAGATTGCACAACATAGATCGCGCGACATAGATTGCACAACATGGGTTGCACAGCGTAGATCGCACCACATAGGTCGCACCATTTGATCACACCGAATTGGTTTTTTCCTTGAAGGGGCATTAGGATCCCCCCCCCCTTCCGTAGAACTAGCGGTCCCCATTTCGTATTTCAATGTACATATACTTTCGCCCCATCGTCCATCTGAAAATGAATCCATACCGTTCCAGGCAGGCTGGTATCCGTCCCCCCCCCCCTCTCATCCTCTGCAAAGCATACCATTCGCGCACACTCGTTTATCGAACACCATCAGGTTTTCAAGAACCCTTTTGCAAAACATGGGACGACGTGCGCACGCGCGGGTCGTCGTGCGCGCATGGAGAAATCCGTCGAAAACCGAAAACATATTGAAACACTTGGTTTCGCAACAAGCATGTTCAAACAAGAAAAGTTGCGCCCGGGTTATTGCAAACCTGCTTGGTGATCATAATATGATAGTAGTTGTAATGATACGCATACCACTGTTTTCACAACGTGCTACCAAGCGGGCCTTTCGCGCGCGCATGTCGGAAGCCCTCGAACGCCCTTGCGCGCGTGCTGTCGCAAGGGGCGAAGTGCACACGCGCGCGCCGTCGCGCGCGCATGCCGAAATCCTTTAAAGACTGTAGATTTTTCAAGGATTCAAAAATCGAGTGCCCCGAAAACACTATATATATATATATCGCGGTTTTGCAACATCCGTTCTCAAAAATGACAGCGCTGGCGCTCCCATTAATTTTTAAGGAAACCATCGGTGATTCAGCGTTTAAATTAAATTCTGCCAAACGGGCCGGTCGGGCCGCACGTCGAAATCATTCGAATGCTTTTTGCGCACGTGCTGGAGGGGGGGGAGGGGCACGATCCGTGTCCAATAACGCCACGCGGGCCACTCGCGCGCCGGCCGCGCGCGCATGTTAAACTACCACCCCCAAAACCCTTCATCACCGACGCAAGGGCGCTGTCATCGTCGTTGGCGTGATCACCATCGGCGCCGTCATTGGCCTTGCCGTCGTCGTTGTCATCATCGTCATCAGCATCGCTACCATCATCATCGCGTTTCCCGTTGTCGACGTTGCCGTGATACCGCGCCCGCCCAAGTCGCCGATTTAGGAAAAGGTCTTGGAGTAAGGATTATTCCGTAGGATCACAGAACACGCGCGTTCTCTTTTGTTGTCTCTCTCTCTCACTCTCTCTCTCTCTCTCTCGCTCCTTCCCCACATCCTAAGTGGGTTTTGTTTTCTCTGCACACTTCCGCGCAGGATCTCCTCCCACCCCCTCTCCACTTCTCCCTTCGCACACTCATTCACTCAATCACATGTTCGTCATCACCATCACTCCCTCACTCACGCACTTACCCTTTCACTCGCCCACCTACCCACCCGCTCACTCACACACATCGTCATCATCAGCAGCACCATCGCCCTCTTCTTCTTCACCATCATCACCATCTCCATTCACTCACTCACTCATTTACTCATTCACGCACTCACTCACTCATTCACTCACTCACTCACACCCACATTTGAAGAAGTATCAGGCGGGATCATCGTCCATGAGGGAATTGCAAGGAAGTCTCCGGCGGGACCCCCCTCCGTATGGGGCCCGCACTTCACGTTTTGAATCCGAGCGGATCATCGGGGACCTGTCACTGTCGTCATTTTGGGCTCCCCAGGCCTGAATCTTCAGGAAGTCTCAGGCAGAAGCCTCGTCTGCGAGCGAAGCGCGAGGAACTCTCAGGCGGAAGCCCCCTGCCAATGGATCCCGCGCTTAATGTTTGGGTTGAGCGTGGGGGAAGTATCAGGCGGGAGCTTCACTCGAGGAAGTCTCAAGCGGGAGCCCCCTGCCTATGCGTTTCGCACTTCATCACCCGAGCGGGTCATCGGGAACGTGTAACTGTCGTCACTTTTGGGCTCCTCAGGCTTGAATCTTGAGGAAGTCTCAGGCGGGAGCATCGTCTGCGAGTGAAGTCTGAGAAAGTCTGAGGTGGGACCCCCCCCTTATGGGTCCTGCACTTCATGTTCGAATCCGAGCGGATCATCGGAATCTTGTAACTGTCGTTACTTTCGGGCTCCTCAGGCCTGAGACGTGACGAAGTCTCAGGCGGGAGCCTCGTCTGTGAGCGAAGTACGAGGAAGCCTCAGGCGGGAACCAACCCCCTCTTCATGGGAGCCCCATCTCCATGTTGGAATCCGAGCGGGCCGTTGGCGAACCTGCAACCTGGAATCCGACCGGGTTCCTCCGGCATGAATATGGAGGAAGTCAGGTCGGGAGCTTCTCGACCAGGGGAGCTCCCTGGGGGACGGAGGGGGCGGGGTCGGGGAAGGGAGGGGGAAGAAGGGGAGACAGGAAACGAGGAAGGGAAGTCCCCAGATGATAGGAGGTCCCCGGAAGAAGCCCTCGTAATAGCTTGGATTTCGCCGAGTTCCGACGAGGGGGTTCCTCCAACGCCTCCTCCTCCCCTTCCTCCTCCTCACCCTCCTCCTCCTCCTCCTTTTCCTCCTCCTCTTCCTCCTCCTCCTCCTCCTCCTCCTCCTCCTCTTCCTCCTCCTCCTCTTTCTGCTAATCCTCCCTCTCTCTCTCTCTCTCTCTCTCCCTCGCTTTCTCTCTCCTTTTTTATGTTGTTTCTCTCTCTCTCTCTCTCTCTTTCTATCTATCTCTCTCTCTCTCTCTCTGTCTCTCTCCTCCCTCCTCCATCTCGAAGGGCTCGTTGGAATCCAAGCGGGCCATTGGATCCACTGGGACGCAGAGGATCCCGAGCGAGGTCCTGTGGGCTCTTTAAAGGGCCACTCGCTCCCGCGCCACGTGCATGCGGAACACGTTGATCCTGCGTCCGCCCCCGCGAGAGTTCCTGGAGAGCGGGCCGCCGGCGTCCCTGCGGAAGGGGCGCTCAGGGAGTTCGGCAAGAGAGCGGAGAGCTCCAGGGCAGAGGCGGAGCAGCTCGCGGCAGAGCTGGGTTCCGTGCTGCCTCCTGCCTGAGCGCGGCCGCGACTAGTTCGGTGCCTGCAGGGTTGTCCCAATGGCTTGCTCCCGCGCCCCAGCAGCTCGCGGGGTTGTCCCAACGGCCTGGCCCGCGGGATTGCCCCAACGGTCGCGCTGTGTGGCCATTCGAGAGTGTGCCCGTGCTGGCCGAGGCGGCGACGGCGCCGAGGAAAATTGGCACGCGCGCTCTTGCACTAGAGAGGGGGGAGGTGCCGGGGGGGGGGGGGGAACAGAAGGGCGAGGAGGGTGCAGCGCAGGGAGCGGGGGGGGGGCCGGCGCCAGGGCGAGAAAGATAATGATGTACGGGAGAGCAAGGACGCCTCACCAATCACGAGGACCACGATGAGGAGCACCTCCAGGCTAGCCGGAAGGATTCTCATGCGGGGTCTTACCGTCGGAGCAGTTCGAACAGCGAAGCAACCCGAAACAGCCCGGGCCTTACACAGTCCAGCGCCGGGGGAGGAGGAGGTGGCGGGGATTGAAGGGGGAGGACCCCCGTCCCCCGAGTCCCCCCCCCCCACAGCCACGAGGGCGAGGACGACGAAGACCACGGCACCTGCCCGACGAGGACCACGACGAAGACCACGAGAGGCACGGATGCACGGGCACCCTTGGGAAGCTACTCCTCCCCATGACCCTGTTGGACTGCATCCACATCCATGCCTTCGCGACGAAGACCACGACGACGAGGACGACGACGAGCCCGAGCGTCTGAGCCTACGGGCAAGCCCTTCCTCCCCCCCCGCAGCCTGGAGCGGTGCCTGCAGTGCGTCAAAGACAGGCAGAAGACAGGGTGCGCACCGCTCGGCCGCCCTCGGGAGGAGGAGGAGGAGGAGGAGGAGGAGGAGGAGGAGGAGGAGGAGAAGGAGGAGGAGGAGGAGGAGGAAGAGGAGGAGGAGGAGAACGACGAGGAGGAGGACGAGGAGGAGCACAAAAAGGATGAGACAAATGAGTTGTAAAAGGAGGAGAAGGAGGAGAAGGAGGAGGAGGAGGAACAGAAGGACAAGGGGGGGAAAGACTGACGAGGCGAGCCTCGTCTCCGCGGCCTGCTTGAGAAAAGGGGCGGCACAGGGAGGGGAGGGAGCGGGAGGGGCATCGCGAGGCGGCCCACGGATGTCCGCGACGTCCTCCTGTTCTCTCGTGGAGTATCGACCTTTCGTTTCCCCCTCCCCCTCGTTCCGTCGCACCGGGAGCGGCGGAGCCCAGGGGATGAGGAGCAGTTGCAGGGGGGGAAAAGGGGGAGCAGATGGGGGAACACGGGGATGAAGGGAGGAGAGGCAGAACGGCGAGGAGGAGAAGGAGGAGAAGTGGGGGCCGACGCCTCACGCTTCGGAGCGCCTGCGGCTAGCTGGAGATAAGAGAAATGGTGGCTGAGCAGCACCCTTCACCTCCGCCCCCCCGCCCCCTCCCCTCCCCTCCCGCGCTCCCCTGCGCGATTCCTGGGTTTCCGGGCAGAAGAGCTCCGGGGCGCTGCGCCCGCCCAGCAGATGCGCTCGAAGCGCCTCCGAGACCCAGTGAAACGAGCAGGGGTCAGCAAAGGAGACCAAAGAGGAGAGGACCAAGGAGGAGGAGGAGGAGGAGGAGGAGGAGGAGGAGGAGGAGGAGGAGGAGGAGGAGAGGGGGAGGAGGAAAAGGAGGAGGAGGGAGGGAGGAGGAGGAGGAGGAGGATGAGGAGGAGGAGGAGGACAGAAGGAAGAGGAGAAGAAGAGGAGGGAGGAGAGGATTAGGGAGGACATGAGAAGACGAAGAAAAGCGTCTTAGAAGGGGCGGGAATGAAGGAGGAGTCGGACCCTGTCTTAATTCTGAGTAGGCTTTAGTCGTAGGATGATTAGTGCGTCTTCGTATTGATTAGGGTAATCAACCACATGACTTTATTCTTAAGAACCGTTTTAATTATATTGCTTATTGCTTCATTCTTCTTATATTATTTCGTTTTTTCTTTTTTTAGCCTCATTCCATATTTTTGTTTTTTCTCCCTTCCCTCGACCTCTTCTGTGTGCGGCTCCTTGCGATGTGGGTGCTGCGTGCCCGAGGCGTTGCCGAAAGGCGCCCTTCGGCCCATGCGTCGGCATGTCCTGCACGGGTCCCTTGGTGCGCCACCACCCTCTCAGCAAGTGCGGTGGGGGCCCTTCAAGAGACACCCTGCTCGCCCCCAGGGGGCCCTGCTGGGCTTCTTGGCTTTCCGATGGTTTCGCGATGGACAGCGTGACGCTCCCTCACCAAGAACCCATGGACGCCCTGGGGTCTCAGGGTCGGGTCTCCTGTAAAGGGTTTCTTGTGGACTGGCCTCGACTGCAGCACTGGATCGCAGAACCGCTCGGAGGTTTTTTTCTGCCAGTCGGACTGCCTCTCTGGACTGCGCTGTCCGTGCTCGCGACTGCCCTGGGGCCCTGGGCAAGCAGACTTGGCGACAGCGACTTTCCCCCTCCTCCTCGTCTTCTTCTTCTTCTTCTTCTTCTTATTATTATTATTATTATTATTATTATTCTTATTATTATTCTTCTTATTCTTCTTCTTATTCTTCTTCCTCCTCCTCCTCCTCCTCCTCCTCCTCCGCCTCCGCCTCATCCTCCTCCTCCTCCCTCCTCCTTTTCCTCCTCCCTCGTCCTCGTCCTCCTCCTCCTCCTCCTCTCCTCACCGCCTCCTCCTCCTCCTCCTCCTCCTACTCCTCCTCCTCCTCCGTTCTCATTCCTCCTCCTCCTCCTCCTCCTCCTCCTCCTCCTCCTCCATCCTCCGCCTCCTCCTCCTTTTCCTCCTCCCTCTCTCCCCCTCCGCCTCCTCCCCTCCTCTCCTCCTACCTCCTCCTCCTCCTCCTCCTCCTCCTCCTCCTCCTCCTCCTTGGTCCTCTCCTCTTTGGTATCCTTTGCTGACCCCTGCTCGTTTCAGCTTCTGCTACGCCAGGTAGGCAACAGGGGCAGGCATCGAGTATGTACGGCTAGGGGTGGCGCGGATTGCGTTTCCTGGAGCCGCGCGAGTCACAATCCCCAGGGCCCAGGGCACTGCGTTCATTTCGTGTCAAGATGTTGGTGTGTCGTTGGACGAGCTCCTCGGCAGACCAAGTAGAAATGGAGACATGCCCATGCCTCAAGGGCATCCAAAAGATAATCGCAGCACAGGGGTGTTGTGTTGGCATGTTAGAGCTGCGCTGGTCCATTCTTGCTGATCGGCACCGGTGAGATGACCATGCTCCATGCGAGCTGACCTGTACCCCCGCGGCTCGTGGCTTGGATGTCGCACTGCTTGGCTAACCGCTGGTATAGATCAAAGGTTCGACCACATTGCAGCGGCCATCGTGCTCCTCAGGAGGAGGAGGAGGAGGAGGAGGAGGAGGAAGAGGAGGAGGAGGAGGAGGAGGAGGGGGCTGAAGGAGGCGAGAGAGTAGGAGGAGGAGGAGGAGGAGGTGAGTGGAGAGGAGACGCTGGGATGATGGAGGAGGATTAGGAGGCGGCGGTGGATGGAGATGCGATGTGGCGGTATTACGATGCGGGAGGAGGAGTAGGAGCTCGCCCCGCCTCGTCCGTCGGGGAGGCCTGCACGAACGGAGAAGGGCCCCGACGGCCTCCGCACCTGCCGCTTTTTTCGCGCACTGAGAGCGGCGCAGGCCACCGGGCTAAAGCCCCGCGGCAGAGCTGCGGGAAACGGGGGGGGCGGAGATCCCCTGTCCTTCCCTGCCTCCTCCCTCCTCCTCCTCTCCCCCTCCTCCCTCCCTTCCTCCCTCCTCTTACTCCTCCTATCCCTCCCTTCTCCTCCCCTCCTCCTTCCTCGCCTCCTCCTCCTCCTCACCCTCCTCCCTCCCTCCTCCCTCCTTTGTCCTCCTCTCCTGCCTCCCTTCTCCCTCTCCTCCTCCTTCTCTCCTCCTCCTCCTCCTCCTCCTCCTACCTCCTCTTCCTCCTCCCTCCTCCTCCTCCTCCTCCTCCTCCTCCTCCTCCTCCTCCTCCTCCTCCTCCTCCTCCTCCTCCTCCTCCTCCTCTCGATCCTCGATGCGACAGCAGACGGCGATGTGCACTTTCGTCATGGGCACCAACAGCGTGCGGAGGATCCAATCGGGCCGGGCGAAAGGGGAGGATTGGGAGAGGGGGGGTCACGAAATTTGCTGCATGCAGCTGGTTTCGGCCTCACCGAGGGGCCCATTCCTCCATACATGGGCGCCTCCGGCGCCGGGAGGCGCCGGGAAAGTCAGCTACGTGAGCTGATTCTCAAACCCCCCCTTTGCTATCCCCCCCTTTTGCCCGACCCGACGGGAAGCGGGCGGAGGATCCAATTCTCCCTGCCCGAAGAGGCTACCAATGTCGAGTCTTCTCCTTTGGGGCGGAAAGACTCCGGTTCTTGGGCCCGAAGAGGGATGCCAGAGAATTGGGGGCCTCTTCGTCCTTCTCCGATTCGTCCTCTTCGTGCTTCTTGGAGTTCCAAGAAGGAATGCCAGAGAATCTTTTGGGGGCCTCTTCGTCCTTCTCCGGGCGTCCAATTCGACCCTTTCCCTCCCTTTCCTCTTCTCTGGGCGCGGCTACCAATGTCGAGACGGCACGTGCCGCCTCAGCCTCTGTTCTTGCGCCGGGCATTTCGCCAGTTGAAGCTCTAGTGCATTTTAATACCGCCCACTTGTGCACACGACGTGATATCTCCGTGCTCAGAGTGATACATCGTAGTGTCTTGGGCGGCCTCCCGGCACATGAATCTCCAGCAGAGTAGCAGGCTTTCCCAGACCTATCAGGCTAGGGCGGTGGAAGACCAAGACTAAATGGGGCAGCGCTTCACAAAAGTGCGCAGGAGCATCAAAAGAGGTTGGTTGACAAGTGGCAGCTGATGGACTACAACCCTCGATTCATGCTCACGTGCTTCGCAGTTTGACACATGCTCACTCGGAGTGTTTAAATCTAGTTGCATGGATACTCCCATCGATCGCTACACCAAGCTTCTGGTGCCTCCTCAGTGCGCGTGTCAGAAAGACCTGAAGACCTGCGCTGTAGGGAGATGCCTTGCAGGAGTAGTATCGCCGTGAATTGTGACCGTGACCGTCATGTGTACGAAGTCTTGGCAGTTCCTCGGCCAGGCGCTGTCGCAATGCAATCAAGTTTCATTCTGTAACGGTCCCAGTATCATGCAAGGATTGCCGTCGGTCAAAGTAACAACGAAACGATTGCAATAGAATTGGGCAGTACCCCAGCTCTGGCAGAGTCACGGAACATGATCACCGCGGGCGCCGCGAAGAATATGGCACGCACCAACGCTTCTGCCAAGGACCACAATGTCACAATCAGAAGTTGGGCGCCAGTCAACAGCAGGAGAAGTAAAAGTCGAGCGCACATTGATTTGGACAGAAGCTGACGCCGAAACACGCCGCTGTTTGATAAACGGCACAAGTCAGTGATGCTCGCCAAGATTTTCGTGAGTGCTCTTCCAGTTTTCCAGTGGCATATGCGACGGACCGAGAGCTTGCAAACCAGGGTCAGCCTGTCCGGTGACTGCGGGCGTCCTGACCATGCGTCTTTTTGTCTGCTCTTTCTCCTGCTCCTCCTCTTCGCCTCTCCTCCCCCGCCTCCTATATTCAGAATCTCGTTTCGTTGGCACCATGTTGCCGCCCCTATGTTGAAAAAGCTGCATTATGTTTGCACCATGTTGCCGCTCTTTTGCATGCTGTCGAACCATGTTGTCGCTCCTATAGTTAAAGCCGCATCTCGTTGGCACAATGTTACCGTTCAGCCGCCAGCCGCTTCAACTACGATTGATGCTCGAGTTCATGGAGATGTCCAGGTCAGCTGCTGCCACAGAGGAGAGACGTGCGTTCGCCGCGCACGTCCGCCAATGTGAAGGATCCGTATTTAGCTGGGTGCACTGTTCGGTGCCGCGGCGCTTGCTGGGGTCCCGGGGATCGAGACCACCCTCAACTGCTTCCGCGCGCGCTATCCTGGGTTGCCGGTTGGGCCTGGGTCTCAACTGGGCCCTGTGACTTGCCTGGCTAGGTTGGGAGATGCAGTTGGGGACCTTGATGGTGGAGCTGGCCATCATGGCGCGCGCCGGGCTGCTGATACTACTACCAGTGGCATACCCGGCGACGGTGGTGAGGGAGGCGGCGATGCGGTCGCTTGCCTGACCAGGAACCCCGGATTAGAAAGTTACCCCCCGCTTCCCCTTGAGAGCCGATTATCCTGGGCCAGGACAGAGTTACTTGTGGTGCAGCGGGCGGGGCAGCTTGTGGACGGGATGCCCGGGGGGCCAATCAGGGACATCACTGACACGGAGATGTTGGCAGGCGACGCCCTGGCCGCGGCATATTCGACGGAGCCGCGAAAAGCAGGCGCTTCGGAGGTACCACCAGGAGATCGTGCGGCCCGCACTGAAATCGGGGAAACGTAAGGCTCGAGTGCGCCAGAGCTCGGGTTTGCCGACGCTTTTCGACGAGCGCGTCCTGGATTTTGACGGTCCAGTCTTCGTAGGACGTCTGCAGCGGGAGCTCGCGTCAAATTTCAGATGGGGCCTCGTCATCTTCACGACGGCCCCGTCAGGCCACCCCGAGTCCCCCGAGCCCGAGTCTCACGTCTCCCCGATGGAAGAGTGCGACCGGCGACCGTTTGTGGCCGCCGCAGACAGGCCGATCCCGACACTGGGCCGGACCCCTCCTCCTCCTCCTCCTCCTCCTCCTCCTCCTCCTCCTCCTCCTCCTCCTCCCCCTCCTCCTCCCCCTCTCCTCTCCTCCTCCTCCTCCCTCCTCCCCCTCCTCCTTCCCCCTCCTCCTCCTCCTACTCCTACCTCCTCCTCCTCCTCCTCCTCCTCCTCCTCCGCGGTTCCGCCAGACCTTCAGGCGCGGGCAGTGCACGAGCGGCGGGCGGAGAGGGGGGCGGACGTGCCGTTCCGCACGTGGGCAGCTGCGTCGTAGGACGGGCAACGCGGCAGCTGCCCGGGCTGCCGGCCCCGGGCTCGTCGCTTTCTTCTCCTGCCGCCGCCGCGGGCGCACGGCGTGCGCGCGGCCGGGGGGGAGGGGGGGGGAGGCGGCGGGTGCCCTTGGCGCCACGGCTCTTGGCGTCGCTCGGGCGCGTGCATTTCTTTCTTTCGGCGGGGGCCATCGAGGAGCATCTTTTGGATCATTCAGCGGAAAAAATCCACGCACGAAGCCGAAAAAATGCACGGGGAGAGGACGTCCGAGCGAGGGCGAGAGCTGCGCGCTCCGTCTGGAGCCCGCGGCGCACGCGCGGGCCCCAGCGATGGGGAGGCGGGCGCGTGCTGGCGAGGCCGTGTTAGGAGGGGGGCAGGGCAAGAGGGGCCCCACGGCACGGGTGCGGCGCTGCGTGGGCCCGGGCACCGCGGGCGTGGGCTCTGGCCGGCCTGCCGGGGTCTTGGCGTCGCTCGGACGTGTGCATGTTTTCTCGGCGAGGACCATCGAGGAACATCTTTCATCATGGAGCGGAACATGCACGCACGAAGCCGAAAAATGCACGGGGAATGGACGTCCGAGCGATGGCGAGGGGTGGAGAACGGAAGGCTCCTGCCATGACTCCTAGGGAGTGGGGAGGGGGGGGGGGGGCGCTTCCTCTCGCTCTCTCTCTCTCTCTCTCTCTCTCTCTCCGCGGGCGAGAGCGCGACGAGCGGGGAGGCTTCACGCGGCGGCGAGACAGAGAACAAACGGGAAGCGGGAGGAGGGACAGGGGAAGGAGGAGGAACCGGGGGGGGGGGGCGAAGCGGACGAGGACAAGGAGGACGGGCAGGAGGGAGAGAAGGAGAAGGAGAAAGAGAAGGATGAGGAGGAGGAGGAGAAAAAGGAGAAGGAGGAGGTGGGGCAGCAGCAGCGGCATGACGAGGAGTTCAACGAGGAACGACGACAAGAAGGGGTTCGTTTCATGTTGTAGTTGTTGCCGTCGCGGACCGCCGTTCGCAGGTAAGTGATAGCCCCGACGTGGTCCAGAGCTTGGACGAGGTGAAGAAATCGACCGATGAACTTGGGCGAAGCTTGTCGCTCACTGAATTAGTATGGGCATCCTGTGTTCGCTTGTTCGCTGGAAAGAGAGATACAGAGAGAGAGAGAGATAGGGAAGTGCATGGACACGATGACGCGCTTACAGCATGAAGGCCCTACCAAAACATCTCCATTCAACATTATGTCATCGTGCTGTGCTAGCGCAGCACTGACTGCGGATTACCCTACGAGCACCTCCTTGAAGGCCATAACATGTGGCACCTCGCGTCTCTATTCAAGACGCTTCGCGTTCACCGCCCGCCCAATCCAGCTCTCGCCGGAAGAGGCGAAGACATCTCCCAAACGGGATGAATGCATTCCAAAAACGGTCAAATATGTGTCCACTGATGCTTTGTAAGTCTTCCTGCGTCTCATTTCTTCCCCATCCCATCTTCCATCGCAGAGTAGGCTCAGGTATACAGTGTGGTCGAGCGATGCCTCTCATCATTGCCAACGGATCAGGGACATGGACGCTGGCTCCGTGAATGCCTTGCTCTCTCTCTCTCTCTCTCTCTCGACAGCAGGAGGACAGAAGCAGCCAGTACAGAGCCCAGTATCGACCCTCGACGGCCCGACAACTGCCCAAGACGCACCCACAAGGGCCGAAGAGGGCCCCGAGGAGGGCCCACGCAAGGAGCCCAGACGGGCCCCGAGGCGGCCCAGGCGAGCCTCGGACGCCCGGAAGCACGAGCATATCCTCGTGCTGGGCCCGAGCCCCGCCCAGACCGCAAGCAGAGACGGGGCGGAGTCGCGGCCCGTTCGGGCTCCTCCTCCTCCTCCTCCTCCTCCTCCTCCTCCTCCTCCTCCCCCTCCTCCTCCTCCTCCTCCTCCTCCTCCTCCTCCTCCTCCTCCTCCTCCTCCTCCTCCTCCTCCTCCTCCTCCTCCTCCCCCCGAGGGGAGGGGCTCCCGTCCGAGCGGGAGCCCGCCGCCCATCGGAGTCGGGCACATCCAGGACCCCAGGCACGGTAGGTTCGCGCCGTGTCGACCGGCGGCGACCCCGCCGCGGACGTCCAACGCTGAACGCCGCCGGCGGCCCAGAATCGGTCGATGTTGAACGATCGGACGTTGCGGCAGCGGCAGATCACGTTCAAGGTTGAACGATCCAGCGCGGTGTCAGGAACCAGCGCTGGGGTCGGCACGACACGAACCTGCCGTAAGGGGACCCGGTTAGTAGTAGGGCCGCGGAGCCTCCAAATCGACAAGGATCACTAAGCCAGGTCTGCCGTAGCTGGCGTGTTTCGGGTGACGGCAGCGCCGCTTAGTGGAACGGGGCGGGGGTGGCCTCGCCCAGTACACATCACTAAACCAGGTCTTATTAAACCCATGTCTGCCAACGCCCGGCCGAAATTTTCAGACAAGATAGCCCGCAGCGCATCTAAGACGGCGTCGGCGTGTGGATGGTGGAAAAAATTGCTCCAGGCGTGCCCGAAAGTCGGCTGCCTACACGAGGCGTCCGGGCGGCCCCTGGCTGAGCTAAAGTCGTCCAAACATAAGGGGGGACCATGTGGTTAAAGCTTCCAGCGTGTATAAGCGAAGTTGGCCCCAGAGGCCCAGGGGTGTTCTGGAGGGCCCGAAGAGTCGATTTTGGAGGCGAATAACGGGCCTCGAAAGGACCAAAGTGGAGCACAAGTGTGCCATGAAAGCGCATCGGGAATTGTACGAGAGACGCTGCCTGGAAGCCGCTTTGAAGTCCAGACAGGGTTGATGCCGCGTGCGGCGGCAAGACGGAGCCCGTGTTCAAGACTTGAAATGAGCTCCCACACTCAAATCTTTCACGCCCCTCAGCCCAGTCGGCGGGCGGATTCAAGTGGCTCACGCCAATCCGCGGACCCCCAGACGAGGACACGTGCGGCGTCTGATTTCGTATGTCTTCTTTGCCGCTTCCCGGCGTGCTGCATGCGTGTGGTTGTTGCCGTTTTGTCCTCTTCGTCCTTCGCGTCTGGTGCGGGACCTCCCTATGAGGCCTCGTAAGGGGTCTTGAGGAAGCCTGTTCAAAGCTCCTGGGAGCTCTGGGGCGCCCTCTGGGGGGCATTCTGGGCCTCTCTGAGGCATGATGGGCGCCTTGGGGGGGGGTATCGTACAGGGGAGGATTCCCGGGCCTCTCTTGCCCCTTTGGGGGCGTCCCAGTGGCCTCTTAGGCCTCCGTTGCCCCTCTTGGGGCGTCTTCGGCGCCTTTGGGGGCCGTTTTGGTGGCCTCTTGGGCAGTCTTGGGGCCATCTCTGGGCCCTCTGAGGGGCCTCGTCGGCCGTCTTGGACCAGCCTGGGGGTCTTCTCCGACCGTCTCGGGTTTCTCATGATCTGGACACGACGAGAGCGCGAAAACTAGTCAAAGCCTTGCGGAACATGACGGTTGCCCTTCGAGGCAGTCGTGTGGGCTTTCTTGGGCCCTCGTTTGGCGTCTTCGGGGCCGCTTGGGTCGTCCTGGCGGCATCTTGGATGTTCTGGAGGCTTCTCCCTCGTAATACAGGCCTCGGAAAAAATAGCGAATACTCATGCCACATTCATCTGTGAACGCCTCCCCCTCCCCCCAATGTTCAAAGTTGGCGGTGGGTCTGATGAGTTGCACCTCGACCGCAGTCTCCCCCGCGCTTGCCAACCTTGAGTTTGGGGGGCAGGGGGGGTGTTCACTAATTGTTTCCCTCTACCGTATAAAGCCCGTTTTGAGCCATCTTCGAGGACGTCCTGGGCATCCCAGAAGCTGCGGAGGGTGGACTGAGGAGGCTCCGAGGGCCGAGGAGGCGCGCAGGTGGAGCTCGTCGCCCACGTTCCCCCCATCCCTCCCCCCTCCTCCTTCCTCCTCCCTCATCCCTCCTCTTCTTCCTCCTCCCTCCTCCTCCTCCTCCTCCTCCTCCTCCTCCTCCTCCGCCCCCTCCTCCTCTCCTCCCTCCCTCCCTCCCTCGCTGCCCGTCCTCCCTCCCCCCGGCCCGCCCGTCCCTCCCTCCGCCCTCCCCTCCCTCCCTCCCCCCTCCCTCCCTCCCTCCCTCGCACCCTCCCTCCCTCCCTGCCCTCTCCGCTCCTTCCTCCTCCTCCTCCTCCTCCTCCTCCTCCTCCTCCTCCTCCTCCTCCTCTTCCTCCTCCTCGGGTCGCCTACGGCCCCGTCTAACGAGATGTTGGACCCCAGGGGAGGGGGACATGGAGAGGGGGACAGCCACAGATCTCACACGCCTTCTCACCTTCCGAGAGAAAGGGGTTGGCGGATGGCTTGAGGCGCTCCCACGTGATCTACCGGGGCCGTCTGCGGGCTGCAACGAGCACATGTGGTGCATTCTGGGGACTTTCTCGCATCGTCTTGGGGCTCTCTTGGGCCATCGTGGTGCCATCTTGGGCCCCTTCTCGGACGTCTGAGAAGTCTCCCAGGGCGGTCTTGGAAGCCTCATGGGGCCGAATTTCCTGTAAAACCCTCCTGGACCGCCCTGGAACTCTCTTGGAGCCGTCCTGGGCCGTCTGCGGGGGTTCTGGAGGTTCTCGTTGGGCTTCTCGGGCTTCTCTTTGGCGTCTCACACGCACTCGAAGCTGGAAGACGCAGACTGTTCAAGAGCCTATACTTGATTTGCTGTGTTGAATGGCTGTGGCCGTCCTGGAACTCCTCTTGGCCTTCTCTTGGCTTGAAGCTGGTGGGGGCCCTTTTGACGCCTCTCGGGGTCTTCATGGGGTCGGTTGGGGGCCTTTCGAGGCAACACTGGGCCATTCTTAGCGGCCCTGGTGACCTTGGCCGCCTGGGAAGCCTTGGAGAGCCTCGGAGAGTCTCAGGGAAGCTTCCGACCGCCCCGGGAGCCTCGGAAGGGGAGGGCGATGCACGCGAGGAAGCGTCGCTGGAAGGTTTCCCTGGGGGGGCACGGTGGCGTACTCGAGCGGCTTGCGCCATGCCGTCGACCCCCCCCCGGAAGCCCATGGGGTCGAACAGCCCAGGCACTCTCCTGCAGGGCCCAGACACCGCGCCTGCGCCCGCTGCCCCCTCCAAGCCCCCCGAGAAGGAGAGGAGGAGGAGGAGGAGGAGGAGGAGGAGGAGGAGGAGGAGGAGGAGG